TGAGAGAAATTTAAAAGAAGAAAAAGGTTCTTAGCTACAATTTCATAGAACATCTAATAATATCACCGTAGTATTATTGACGTGATACCAACATGTCAAAAGTTATTGAATTGAATGATTACTGATCAAAATCAATCGAAAGATGAATGAGAGAAAAAGAATTTCAAGGTTATGTAAATTTATTGAATGGTGTTATGAATGATGTTGCATATGATATTCTAGATTTTTTCTTTATTTGTATTTTTGTCTTGCCATGTAAAAACCTCATTCCTTCTCACTTAAATAATCCAATCCTTTTTATAAGGTTACCTACACCAACCCCAATCTTCATTTTTTTAATCACTTAATATTTCAACTTTATTTAAGTAGATTTTAAAATTTTTATGAGTATATGAAGGTTATTCCTATATAAAATATCACTACAGAGAGATTTTATTGTATAAGATTAATATACTTTAATTTACATTTTTTACTTAAATTTTTTATACTTCTTGTGAACCGTTTATCTTTACTCATCCGACGGTATAGTTATTTTATCTTTATAATTTAATTTAGATCTTTGATTTTCTTTGGTCAAACCTCCAATATATCTCATTTTCAAGACCTAAGTTTTCAACAAAAGGTAGCAATGTGAGCTTGATCAGAATCCAGCCGATAACCATACCAAAGCCCAGGATTAGATACGAATTTCAATAAAAGGGACAGGCTGGACTTTCTCAGGCCCAATAGCTTATTTCACAACCTGGGGAAACTAATCTTTCCAAAAAAAAAAAATCCTTAAATAAAAAACAAAAGATATTTTAGCTACCCAACAAAATTGTAGAATAATAATGGAGGAAGATATAACATCAAATCATTTATTTTTCATTAAATTTTGAATTATTATATAACCTAATAATAAATTTATTTATTTATTCATTTTACTTTTTAAGTTATTAGGTAACAGTCCATTCGACTTCATATTTGTACCATTCTTTAATTTTGCACAGTCGAAACAAATTTTTAAAAAATAAAGATAAATCAACAATTTTTTACCTTTTTCCCTAGTAGTCGGGTGGTAAACCCTTTAAGGCTTTAACCATTGAGGTTAAATATATCTAGAAAGTCTTGCCTCTAAATCACGAGAGAGATGATTACCAAGTTTACTCAAAAAAAAAAAAAAAAAAAATCAACGACTCTTTTTAAATCCTTGTTAATATTATTCTCTTAATTTAATAGAATTTTTTTATTATAATTTCTAATACATCTAAATTAAGTAACAAAATTATATTTGCGTTGAATAAAAGTATTGAAAGATACAACCATTACCATGATATTTCACTTTCTTTTGTCTTATTATAGTGAAATAGACAAGAGATAAATTTATTAATAGAAATATTTCACAAAGTTTAGTAAAGCTTAAGTGCTTGGAACTCATCTTCTATGACCTAACAAATCTCATGGAATTTATTCCCAAAACCTAATGTCAAAAAACAATATATATATATATATATATATTCTAAATTTACTTTCGAAAAAGATCCCTAAAAACAATCAAATAATAATGTACTTCTTTTAAAGGGATATGTTATAATACAAGAGGCTTTTTTCGATCTCAAGGTTTATTTCTTTTGGCCGATAACATTACCGAGCCGAAAATTATAGTATAATTCTTAAATAATTTTATATATTTTTTTCACATTGACATCACTATAAAGTTTGTTCCCAGATCCCCATCTTATGTTCCTTTTTAGTTCCAACGCAAGAATTTTACCAAAATTCTTTTGCCATGTCTCCATCACTTTCTAGTGAGCATAAAATTCAAAAATAAAAGTAAAAGTTTTTAAACTACTTCTTTGAAGAAGAATAATAAAAAGTTGAAGAGTTGATGGGTGGATTTAAACCTGTGGCCAAACAAGTCTTAAATTTGTGATATGTCATATCAATCTCAAAATGGGCCCAAGCCTAGGCCCATTTAACCCCACACTCTAATCATTCTCCTCTTCGACATGGACCAACTCCGCTTCATCATTATACCTTCCCACAGTCTGGTCAGTCGAACTCGGGGCCCATGAAAGTTGGCTATCTGCTTTTACCATTATACCCTTGTTTTTGTTGGATTGCTCATGTTATTGTGTTTCCAGTGGATGACCACTATGAAAGTTAGATAAAATATTTTGGATAAAGATCCAACGGTCTCAATCTCATCTTTACACATTCATGTGCATTAAAAACTAACACTAGATTAAATCAGGACCTGCAATGGTCATCCCTATTAGTAAATAGCAATTAAGAGAAATCAAATTCAAGACCTCTTAAGTAATACATTCAATAATATTATCCGATTATTCAAGAATGGTTAATTAACATATTTTTTATTATAAGAGAATTAACCATATTAGTTTGTTAGATAGTCTCATTGACCATTTAATATGCTCTTTTAAGAAAAGAATCTAATATGGTCTTTTAAGTTCAAGCCTTTTTTAGAGTAAAAAGAAGAAGAAAATGACCTAATATAATATTTTAAATTTGAGTCTCAATAATTATTAATATAAGTGATCATTAAAACTTATACTTAAAAAAGAGATTAATCGTGATGTGGATAAATTAGTCTTAACCCAGGGATAATTAAAAAGAAAAAAGTTTTATTCATTCATTTATTGAACCAATAATTGAAGCTTTAAAGATGATGGCCAACTTTCTCCGGATCATCTCTTCGAAACTTAAAAGACCCGTCTTAAATAAACTTCTTCGGGTTTCGAATCCCGAAAATCACATTTCTTCTTCGTTCGTTCATTCATTCATTCACTATTTGCCTTCACGAGTCTCAACAGGCAAAATCGTACAAGTTTCCTTAAATAACAACACCAAAATCTTCTCTCCTCCTCAGCCCCGATTCCCAAATCCCCATTATTAACAGTTTAACACCACCAGGCCAGACATCACAGAAAGAAAGAGATTAATTAATTGGGTGGACAGATGGCACGCCGCTGGCGGTACCCACCTGGGGCCCTTGCTCCTGATGCCGCCGGTTTTATATAAAAGAATCACTGAACCAAAGTCCTCTACGTGCAACACGTCGTCTAGTTCATTGGGTACGAATTGGATAAACAGTACGTGTCTTTTTATTTTATATTTTATTATTTTTCACGTCCATTAACAGCCCATTTTACCCATTCACGTTTTTTCACTGTTAAGTTGCTTAGTTTTATGTTTATCCAATGTTTATTATGATGATTAAATTTTAGAACTCTACCTGCTCCCTGTTTTTCAACCCAAATCTACGTGCTTCTTTTGACAAACACTTGTCAAATTCAGTAGTGAAATTACAACACGTCGAGATGGACATGACTTGAGTTTGAAGAAGTGAGCAAATATAAACACAAATCGGTTGAATTTAAGCAAGAAAAAGAAAGCTCAAGCGATAACGTCATACTTACAATGAATTTCGCTTTATCTTGTTCCTATTGCCCAACAAATCGAAGAAACGTGTTGTGTTTTGGTAGGTGATGAAAGTTTCGATTTAAGTAAACATAGATTTCATATGGGTATTGATTAAACACCTCTAGAAGGCAAGATCGAGCTTGAAAGAAGTGAATATGAACACAAATCAAAGGATGTTTTGCAGAAGATTTGAAGAGAGGATGTGTTGAGTTAGGCAACTGATTGGGTTGGGGAAACGAAAAATACATTGATCCTCCAATTATTCATCCGTGCATGAGTTGCATAGCTCGACGTATACATGAAAAAAGGACGGCTGATAATTAAGGATACCAAATAAAAAATTCACTTATCATCACCTTGGTCAAATTAATTACATGATTAGTTTTGAGTGGTCGACAACATTAAGATATGTAAGTTATATTATCAAACAAACATTAATGAAAAGCCAAAGTTAATTAATTAACTTTAATCCCACTTTAAAAAGTATTAAATCATTAATATCTATATCACTTTGTGATATAATTTTGTATTTATCTTCCAAGTAGCTAGGCTGAATCCCGACTCATAATTAAAGCAAAAAAATTTAAGATATTTGCGGACAGCTAGCTCCCTTAATAATGCAGATTGCAGAGCTTTCAAAGCAATGCAGGACATGAACAAGATTCCACCATTAACCTTTTTCTTTTGACATACAGAAAAATAATTAATTAGCTAATTATCCAAATGATATAATAATGGAATGCGTTTTGTTCTGTCTTTCATAGCGTTTCACGTACCAGATAAAAGTCTTTTAATGTATAAACTAAACTGAGAGTAATGTAAAGCATGCATATAAAATCGAAGGATATGTTTTTCTTTTTCACACAATGTTTATTTATATGTTTTGTCGTTGGGCCAAACCAATGAAAAGTACTAAGCAAAAGCAATTCAATGAAAAGAAGGTAAAGCACCATACAAAAACAAAAGCACTTCTGGTTTGACAAGACTGCCTTTATTTTTTTTCCTTCAACTGGTTATATAGACACATGCAGTCAAAGTTTCAAAGGCAGAATGCTCCCCCCCTTCTTTTTTTTTGTTTTTTTTTTTTGACAGAAGATCTACATAATTTTTTAGATTTGAAGTATAAACACTCACAAGAAAAATCAAACTTAATATTTTTAAAATAATATATTTAAGAGTCTCTATCATTAGGTTGAATGGTCCTCTCAATGACCAATTTATTTTATTTTTATTTATGATAAAAGAAAAAAAAAAAAAAAGAGGGGGAAGGTTGAGTTCTACTCGCTGGAAAAAGCAACCAGGTTTGTGTATCAATTCAACTCTATACTAAGCCATTCTATTGAAGAAAAGGAAAGAAAAAGAAATAAACGTACAACCATTGAAAAAAATAAAAAAATGGGAAAACGAAATGGAAACTAAAGAGTAAAGAGAGGGGATACGTGGCAGTTAAAGATCAGTAGAAGTCAAATCCTTAGCTCCGCAAATCGTCCTCATTACTGCTCTCTTCTAGCTGTGGGGGACCCATTCAAGTACCTTCTCCACTTCTCTCTTTCTTCTATTTATTTTTCACTCAAACTCAATACATTTTCACAAAGCTTAAACAAGCCTTCCCCCAATCCCATCACCACCTTCACCCCACTCCACCATTTGAGAGAGAGAGAGAGAGAGAGAGAGAGAGAGAGAGAGATAGATATATATATATATAGATTCTGAAACAAAGGATAATGAGATATGGTGGGATTAAGTATAGTCTTGGAGAACCAAAAAACTGGTAGCTCTAGCAAGAAAAGCCCCCAAGTTATCAACAAAGCTACTATGAATATTAACAACAAGCTTTTTACTTCTTCTCAGTCAACTTTCCCAGTGCCTACTTTTCTTCAGCGATGCTTCCTCTGCCAACAGCCTCTTTTGCCGGGCAAAGATATCTACATGTACAAGTAAGCACCTTTTATTTTTATTTTTTGTTATGTTTTGTTTTGTCTTCTAAGTTCCCAGATCTTCGTTTATTTGGAGTGTTTCTCAGCAAACCCTGATCTTTTTTTTTTTTTTTTCTTTGCATGGTTTGTGATTTTAAAGCTTGAATTTTTATGGTTATTTTTTTGCATGTGTAGGGGAGAGAGTGCTTTTTGTAGCGTGGAGTGCAGGTGCAGGCAGATATTTATGGACGAAGAAGATAGTATTAAGAAAGAGAACTGTTCATTGGCTGCGATGAAACCAACTTCTTCTTCATCAGCTTCTGGTTCCCGTCGGAAAGGAAACAGAAACCGAGGAGGAGGAGGAGGCGGCGGCTTTGCTTACTGAAGAAAGATGATGATCACCAGGAATGGAAAAAAAAATTGTTTTTTTTTGTTTTTTGAAAAATAATTATGTTCCGGTTTTACCCCTGCCTAATTTTGTAATGACTATTATGTGGTATGTTGTCTTGCTTCTTTGTTTGGAGCCAAAAAGGCATTCAACTTTTTGAGCTCCACGTATCTACGGGAGCCCCTGGTTTGATTTGCTTCCCATTTTCCTGAAACTGTGGGATTTTTTTTTTTTTTTTTTCGTCCTTTTTCTAATATCATGTTGTTGAAGGGTATTGTGGGTATTATGTTATGGTGTTTGCTTATGCTTAAACGTGATTAATTAACTCGCTAATTACTTAATTTGAATGCTCATGAGAGTTATCGTTTTCTTGGGCCAAACAACAGTGTTATTTGTTGTCTGCCTAGATGACAACGTGCGTATTTTAGTGGAATCATGTAGGGAATGTATAGATTACGCACTGAGGGACAGTGGTTTAGTAGTGGAGAATATTTCTTTCTCTTTTTTTCCAGAGGAAAACTAGTGATTGAAGAATTAATGGTAGCAATCATCAAAGTTATGGTCCCCATGAGAAGAAAGATTATAAATTTTATCATTTGAAGATTTTCAGGTTTTGTAAATATTCATCTTTATTACTCAAATGAAATATTGCATGGCTGGCTGGCTGCATTTTCCAGGGCCTTTGTTCGTCTGTTTCCAGGAACTGGAAAGAGTGTCAGCGAGTGAGTTTCCATGACATGTATATTATGCAATTTCGAAAGCTTGATGGGTTTTGAATGAGCTTCTCACATCACAGTACCTGGGGGTGGTCTGCTTTCTCTCATAAAGTTAAAACTCTAGCTTCTCACACCACAGTACCCAGAATTAATTGAAGGGCTTTGATTGATAATTCCGGACATTCGCTTTCTAGCATTTACAGATATTGGACCCTTTTGGCTCTTTCCTCTTTCCTGGTTTTAAATGAAGTTACATTTTCTCATGAATAACCACTGTTGCAGAACAGTAACAGAACTTATTATTTCACTTGCCCCTTCCATTAATGCTTCGTGAATGAACAGTACTACAACAATTATATTCTAATGGGGGATACTTGTCAGCCCAATAAAGGCAAAAGATAGATGTAACAAGAGGGTGAAAATCAAACTGTTACTTACATATACTACATAAAGAAAATAAAAAAAAAGTTAACAACTGGGACAAGACAAGAGAACCTTAACTTTAGAATGTGAGTAAGCAGAGGCAATGAAATGGAATTGGATGGTAGTAAATTGGAATAAATAGGGCTTGCTACTTGCATCTCTTTATGCTGTGCTACTGTCCACGAATCCTTGAAAGACAGGAACAGTTTGGTTCCTGGACATTTTACATGCATGGTTTTGAATTCTCAACTGCATTTTGCCAATTATAACTTGAATTTTGTTCTTGGAATAATTGAATGGTAAGTTTTGTATAAGTTGAGTATTTACTTAAGACATGAAATTGTGTTTGTGGGGAGAAGGTGTTGGTAACCGGGGATTTAAGATGGCATGGGCGAGCATAATAAGTTATGGAATTGAGTGGTAATGGTGGCAGCAGAAGCCAATTACAAAATGCTATATATATTCACCTTCATCTTCATGTATTAAAACGTTTTCCTCACGCTATAAAAACCTTAGTCCAACTGGCAACATTAAACGTTGCTTTGGTTGGTAGAGGCATTACTGAGTGTAGTGAAGATAAATCCAACTGGCAACCAAGCTAGGGGTGCTGACCTGACCAGAGTAAAATGGCCTTACAATAGGAAATGTACTATCAGTAGCTGACGCAACATCAATGCTCTTCTGTGGTTGAATCTAAAATCCAATGCTATCAGTAGCTGAGGCAACATCAATGCTCTTCTGTGGTTGAATCTAAAATCCAATTTGGTCTAGGTGCATTGGAACAGTAGAGATTCTTTAATGGTCACAGATCCTGTTTCTGTTTAAAATTACCAAATTTTTCATTCAGCTTTTGAGATGAGACAATACTCTTGTCTTGTGATGTTCCCGGTATGTTACCCATTTGTTGCATTTCAGACGGTATTCACTTTTATGCTTCATAGTTGAGCACAAGAATCTCCATTTACCATTTAGAGGTTTCAAGGTAAACAGACAGCAATTCACTCACATCCATAACAAGTTTCAAGCTAGTTCAAGTGGATACAAATATACAAGTTAAGCACAAGAATCTCCATTCTGAGGTTTAACCAGCCAGCATGGCAGGTCTCGATTAATACATACAGACATCAACTCTTACACGATGAACATAAACTCATCATCTTTGGCACCTTTTTTCATCCATATTTATCAACGTCGCCATCCTCATTAACCAGATTTGAATAGCAAAACCGCTTTCTGATCCAAATAGAAATAAACAAAGTGGTTTGTTTCATGAGTCACGTATGAACCTGTGCCCAAAAAAGATAAAAAGGTCAGTCGAAGCTCTTAAAGGTAATGCTGATTAATTTTCTTCCCTAAATAATCATTCCTAGTTTCATAATGAAGTGGCAACAGCAAAGCAATTTGTGTAACTAAAAAAATTAGGTGAGGTGAATATGCCTCCTTCTAAAACAGCAAAATGATGTAACTCTTGTATTATTCAACAAGATGGACCATGCTAAAAAGTGGCAACAAATGCTTTTCTAAATCCAAGAAGTTTGAGATAAATGCTATAATAGTATGAATAGCGAGGGAAACCAAAGCTTTGATCAGAAGCGAGGGTTATCCTACAGCTCGAGCAGCAGAACATTTGGAATTGAAAAGGGGCAGATACCTCTTGACAAATGCAAGGCACCACATTATACAACACAACATGCTCAGGTGATTATCTGACTCTTTGAAACTAAGGATACAATCACTAATATTACACACTCGTTTCCCCAACCCACAGTAGTTCATACATTTCCTCAAAATGTACGACAACACAGATAACATAAAGCTTCTGAGAAAGTTTTCTTACCTTCACCAATGTTAACAAATTAACTAATCTTTTTAAGGAAAGTTCTCCAAATATTAAAGTTTAGGAATAAAGAAAAAGAAAGTTTAGTAGTTATGTTAGCCAAAGTACAAGTCAATGTAAGATGATATTTGTAATAACGTTCCTGACGCTAAACTGGATTCTGGAAGGCAGGTTAACAAATAGATTTCTTTTCTAATAATTTGTACATCTATCACATGTGCAAATTTATATGGAGCTTTTCTTATGGAAATAAGATTTCAAGTAAGTATGGGCAACCATAAATTAAACCCAGTTAGGAAATGACCAGCAAAATTACTTACTTAAGAAAATGTCACAAAATGGGATAAAAACAATATCTTTCTAATAAATTACATAGACAAGAAGCCTTTTAGTGCTACAAACCTATTAATTCAAATAATAGGTTTTAATCCCTCAATATTTTTTTATGTCTTCACGCCGTTATAAACTGGTGGCCACTTAAAGACACTACAATCTTGGTAGCCAGGAAACACACTAAGTACATAGTATGCTAACACTCAATTAAAATAAAATCATTTTATCTAAAGTTGGATATTCCATCAGTCATGAAAACTTGAACTTCAATATTTGGCCAATAATGATTTCAAACTAAAAATAGAAAACATAATAGATCATCCTTAAACCTGCATAGCATCAAAATTGATTTGACTGACATCAGTCATTAAAGGAAAATGGTTTGGACAACCAACCCAATGAGTTACTGCTACAATATTGTTGTGTGCAAGACAACAGGCATTTTTAAATTGAACGACCATTCTCTAACCGCTATGACTATTTAAAAATGACAGAAACTTATAGATTAGCATTGGAGAACAACTATTTGCATAGCTAAATTTTAATGTAGAAGATACCATATTTTGAAAATAAACCACAAAGAGTAAACTATACCTTTCCACATATAAGTAACAAGTATATCTAAAAGTGAGGATATAGGCCACTTCATAATTTCACTTTAGTAGTGTCTCTTATCATATATTAGAAGCACAGTACTGAAGGTTTATTAGAGTAAAACTAGAAGAATGCTTTGAGAAAAGTGCAAACTTTGTCAATGGACTCTCCATCATGCTAGATGGTTCAAGTTGTTTGACAGCCTCACAGTACCAAATCAAATAAACCTAAAATCCAGATTTGTCCAAAAATATTAAATGTTGGCTGCACTACTTCCTTGATGTACAACAGCCACACCTCATGTCTCATATAGCCTCGCGAACTGATGAACAGAACACGTAACCTAACAACATCAGAAAGTGAATGCTCAAATAACTCCTGGATCATCCATATGCTTTCCCAAGATCAGACTATTTTCTTTCCCTGATAAGACCCCGAGATCAGAACTGATAGTACAGATCTATTAAAATCGGCTGTGGAAACTAGTGCAGGCAATTCGCTGCCAGGTCAGGCCCAATATCAAGCAGACATTTCAATTTGACTAGACTGATTTTGATTGCACAAAAGCAGCGGTAGCATCCAAAATGATTGAATACAAAGAAAAATTATTCAAAAGAAAATCATAAAATCTTACTTCAACTTAGCTTAATATGATGCGCTAACCTGAAAATTTGGGTGCAAAATTTCCAACCAGAACTAAAATCACTTTAAAGGCACTAAAAAAATCCCCAAAGCTACAGCTCATCCAAAACCATTTCATTTTTTTGCAATCTTTGCTTCCCAAATCAGAAGATTACAACACAAGAATCACATATAAGACAACATTTATATTAAATTTATCCTAGATCTATTTCATCTTCCCACCAAAAAATTGTTGAAATAATTAAATCTTAACAAATCGAAAATAATTATAAAGTAAAAGAAAAGGAAACCCTAACAAAAGCAAAATAGAATTACCAAAATTGCTACCAACGATGCAGTGCCAAGTGGGTCCGTGTCTCTTATCGAACTCCTTCTTTATTCGCTCTGCTACATCTTTCTCTACATTGTTCCTCTCAAATGCCTACGAGAAGAAACCGAAATCAAATGACTGAAACAAAATCTCAATAAATGAAAATTTATATATATAAAAGGAAAAAAAGGTTAAAGAGAAGGAAAAATAACTGCGATGGCGATATCAACAGCTTCTTTTTGCATGTCGTCTTTCATGTCGGCGCTCTTGATGATGACTCTTTTGCCAGATTGCGACACCGGCTGGGTGGGTTTCCGATCATCGGAGTTGGGTTTCACGACAAGAGCTCCGTTGTTGCTTTTCTTCGTGTCTTCACTCATGTTCATTGTTTGTTTGTTTGCCAAAGTGAATTCGATTCGATTTGTTTTTGTTTAAGTTTTGGTACAAAAAGCACTATACCAACCAACTGTCTGTGTGTGCCACCCTCTCTTTATCAAAGTGTTGCCCTTTTGATTACTTTGTTTTGCTGGTTAAGTCACTTGTGTGTTGACTGTGTGTGTATGATTGAGGTTGAGTTTTCGGTTTTCCCTTTTTTCACTGGAGGCAACAAATCCAAAAACGCCGTCGTTTTCTGAGTCCATTGTTTAACTCTTACAGCAGTGCTGGATTTTGGAATTCTTTCCCACCACATACTAGTACTCCTGTTCTTTTGTCTTTGTTTGGCTGTCTTGTCCCCATTAATAATAGCTAAAATATAGAAATTAAAAACTTAAATAATTAATTTTTTTTTAAAATAAAATAAAATTAATAGCTTGAAGCCTCAACTACTGGTTTGTCTGGTTGAAAGCATCAATTCTTTTGCCTTCTTTTCAAGCATTTATGTGAAGCTGTTGCCCCTGAAACATAATTAAAAATAGTACATTAGATTCTTTTCTCAGGAAAAGCACATGGAAAAAGCTAAGTGAGTTGCATATTTTTCTATGATATAGAACAAATAAATAAGATAAATTATTGTCAGTTTGTCAGAATCCTGATAAAAGTAATCTCTTGTGTAGATCATTTCATAAACAACCCTGCAATGCAATTCAAAATTATTATCATGAAAGATTATAATGATTCAGTCAGGAGGTTCACTGTATATCTTGTATGTATATTTATAGTACAAAATGAAAATTCACTGTGCCATTGAGATACTTTGCACAAGGGATATCTCACTATCCAGTTCAAGAGAGAACATTTTAACTATACTTGTTCCGACTTGCAATTACACTTCATCATCGGAATTCTGGACCACTCTGCGCCTCTTCGATCTTTTGGCAGCTGGAGAAGAACCTCCATTTTCGCCATCGGATTCAGAATCTTCAACAGCAGGAGGTGATAACACATTTTCTGATCCATTCTCTTCGTGTTCTTTAGAGTCCTCGCCTGATTCTTCTTCGGCTGCTGCAGAATCGTTATGGTCGGCTTCATGGTTTGAAGCATCTTCTTCCCTGACAGGATCCAATATTTTGAAATCCCTGGCAGTGCTACGCTTGGCATGCCTCAACAGATTGACTTTGCTCCTCTTGCTGAGTTGAATGAGATATTTTTCGTAATCTTCTATCTGGAAGATCAGGTCTGGAATGCATTTATTCTCCCTTTTAATCTTGTTGATAACACCCTTACTCTTATCATTTTCTAGTTGAACCTGCAAGTGTAATGAAAATAAGAAACTTGGAAAATTACACACAAACTTATTTTGATGTGATAATTCATTGTGGTATAATTACGGAAAATGCCCCAAGTCTATACCCTCTGCATCTCCTCCACAAAGTTATACAGAGGAACTGTGAGCTGTTTGCATGTTAATTCTACAAGCTTCTGGTATTGAAGACTAGGTAAAAGCTGCTTGCATCCCTTGGGAGCCATCTTAAGCCTTGACATCTGAGCTAAATGCTTATAAAACTTTGCAGTCAATCTGAGAAAATGCTCTGCTTGAGGATCTGCAAATTATAATGTCAAACAAAATTCGTAAATTCAGGAAGTGTAGAAGACAGAATAGATTCAGTTTTTTGGAAACTGCTTGCTTACACTTAAGGCTCATCAAAGCAAAAGAAGAAAACACTTTGACCACTGCTTCAGCCCTAATGTAAAGATTTTCCTCAAATGTCAATCCAGGAGGATGTTCTCCATTCCGATTAATATGAATGCTCTTTTGAACAATTAGACAGAATTTCTTAAGTTCTTTAACGGCCCAATCCAAATCAACTATGACTGCTTCAATTAATTGCAGTATAGAGGATGTTATACTAGTACTTGTTGACTGGTTTACGAGAGGGTATACTTCAGACACCTCTAACGAATCATCTGTTACTAATTTAGTGACCTTCAACAGCTCCTCAGAAATGGACTGAGCCACAAGTAAATCATTTGGAGGTGAGCTTAAACACACGGCCAATTTAACGACACTTTTTGCAACATTAGTGCCAGGGCTTTTGCATAAATCCATAGCCCAAGCTCCATGAGAATTCTTCCACTTGCAGGGCAATTTATTCCCAATCATTAATAACATATCATACAGAACCTGAGAAAAGAAAATTAATGCTTTTTGACGGATTTATATAGAAAAAGATACTAATTGCAGCTGATAGGAATGAAACAGGTAAAAATGCATTTACCTCAACTTCACGTAAAAATGAATGCTCAAGGAGCTCCAATATTAATGGCTTCAGAAGTTTCTCAATGAACAATTCTTTACTTCTTATATGTTCATCATCAATTTTAGAGGATTCCTCACTTTCATAATTTAAACCATACTCAACTGTGGCAACTGACAACAAATCTTCAAGCAAGTCAGTTAATTGTGAGCTCCGCATACTAATTGTGATCAATTCTTTTAAGCAAATAAAGGCTAGATGGAGATGTTCTTTCCTGTCTTCAACACCTTTTCTTCCTTTTGTTTCCTTTTTCTTCTGATCTGTCGTAGACTTTGGTCCAGATTTGAGCAAAAAGATCAATTTCAGCAATGGGGACCCCAGGATATGAATACCTCCATAGATCAATGTCTTCAATGGATCATCCTTCCCAACAACAGGGTAAGTTTTAATTTGACGAAGGGTAGCATCCAAAACAAAAGAAATAATCTTAGAGCAACATTTTGTTGTCTTGCCCGAGGATGTCTGGCTATGTTTCTGGGAAGCTGTAACACCATTAGAGCATTCAATATTGTATAGTTTTACCACTGTCTGCAGAAGCTGAAAGATGCTTGAAGTTGCTAGAAAAGAAATTCGCTCTTGGGTCAAATTGTTGTTTCCAGAATCATGAATATTGGGTGTATCAGGAGCAGTAGCTCGTATATTCGCTCTTCTAGTGCTGTTACCCTGTCTTGATGTACTTGAATCTTTTTCCAGCAAGTCATGAAGATCAACAAATCCAATAAATTCCTTTTCGAGATCCGACTTCTCTGCATCACTGGCTTTTTCCAACTCATTAGCAATAGTATTCAACAGCACTTCCACGATTCCTAGTAAAATCAAAGAGCAGCATTTTCTTTTCTCTTGTCCAAGACATGTAGTGTTTTCTTCCTGGGTCTGACCAAGAATATCTGATCTGACATGACAGAGAAAAGAAATTAGTAAAAGGTAAACCTGCTAAGAAAGACCAACATCATTGAGGACTAAACTAAAGATGCTTATGACAAGATATAAGATATATGTAAAAATAATAACGGATGGAAAACCTCACAAACCTTTCAAATTTCCACTTTGAAGAAACTTCCGGATCTTCAATAAAGCGGAAGAAAGTGTTTCGCTGGACAAATTTCTTCCCTCCTGCAATTTTCATAGCTGAAATGTCAGTGAAACTTCATACATAGTCTTTTTTTTTCCTCATCTAACCTATCATCATAAAAGCATAACTGGTCGCACTAGCAATACCTCATTCTCTTGTGAAAGAGAGAAACCAAAGCAAGTCCATGCAGAGTCTGAATGACGATTAATATTGCCATGTGGTTGGAGGAGTAGAATGAAAGATATACAAAAGAGAAGACAATCTAAAGGCTCTTGAATTAAAGTTTTCCCACTTTCAGTTTTAACACATTGACTGACCCCAAGTTGGCAATCTGTATCCTGCCAAAAGTGTTCTTAAATGTCAATACAGATTTTTGTTACTTGTTCACAATAACTTAATATCCAAGATGCATATCAAGCAACACTATATGAGGTTTCACACCATAAAAGTTCATAAATTTCTCACAACTCAAATGTAATTAAAGGGATTCAAGTATGAACTTCAAATAAGGTAAGCTTAAATGGATGGAAAATTACCTCCCTGAAAAAACAAAGAAAATGAGGTAAGAGAAAATCAAAGACTGGCCCTCCAGTTGATGGGTCAACCAAAACAAGCTTCACAAGTCCATGGTACATGACCTCCTTGACTTCTGCCTACACATAGCAATCTATCAATTCAGGAACATAGTTCAGTAACAACAAAATGAAATGCATGACTGAAGATAAACCTGCTGATAAAGGCATCTTTGCAGCAAGGCACTCAGCTCCTGGAAGAGACCTCCTCCTGTGCTGCGGGGTATCTCTTGCTGGCTGCAACTGGCTTGGCTTGATGAGTCTTGAAAAGAAGACAAGCCATCTGTTTTAGATTGCTTTTCTGCCAGTATAAGATTAATAATGGCATTTGTTGCCGCAAGACGAACTGTGTCTTCTCGTCTAAACATGGCTTTACGCACAACCAAGATGGTGTAGTCCTTCATTATTAAGTGAAACAAGTAAAAATACTGGCATAAACAACTTAACAAAAAAAAAAAAATTGAAGTTTCAACAGATCTCCTTATCTTTTTCACCCTAGTCCCATCTACCCTAAATTTGAACCAAACCTCCCAACCTTAGAGAATAGGAGTCAATCTCAAGACCTTATTTGCAACCTTAAGAGACCCAACTAGTTAAAACAATTAGTTTAATTGATGAAAAATTTTTAAAAGATATGGATGCCTAGAAACCAAAATTAAATTTCCATTGTCATGGTCATGGATTAAAATCGAGACATGTTCATGAACCATAATTGAGGTTGGCTCAATTGCTCAGTTTTAAATTTTTCTTCCATTTTGGTGACTAAACCCACTCTTTTTGCTCGAAAAAAAATTACGGAGTGCCATATACTATATTATAATTTAATAACAGCCATAACAGAATTGATCGTCTTTCTTTGTCAAATGAACATGAGAAGACATTTACCTGAAGATCATGACTGAACTTGATGAGAGGCAGAAGAGCAGTAACAAGATAAGAGGCAACTTTGCCATTCATAAAAGTGAAATAATCCAACAATTCCTTCAGAAGGGAAACATGTTCCAACATTGGGTAAGGATAACTTTGTACCAGAATGCCGATCAGTCTGCACATTGAATATTAATGCCACTCATAACCAGAACTCAAACAAAAAGTTTGTGATTGATCAAGAGCAATTACCTTATGATTAACATACTTTGAGTTGGCTTTAAGGAAAGGACACGAAACTTGCATTGCTTAATAATCTGCAAACAGCATACTAACATAAATACAAAGTGGCGTCCAAATCAGACAAAAGATCTGGAGAGTTCCCGCCAGCTGACAAGTGCATCACATATGGTACAGATTGTACCAATATATGGTACAGAGAATGGAAATCAATCATAAATAACTGCCTTGTAAAGCTTAAATTTTAGTGTCACCAACCTCATTCCTAGCCATATCATGGACTTCAAATAGAGTTTTAAGAATCTGAATACCAAGCTCCTCAATGCCCAGTAGACAATTTGAACTGCAGTATTCTTTAAGGTTTCCCTCTTCCAATGACTCCAGCAATAGAAAACCAAGCTGAGCAATGCTAGGCACAATATGCTCCCGTCCATAATTGCTTTCATTTACCTTATGATCAATAGAAGAGAATTTAGTTAAAATCTAAAATGTCTTAAGTACATTGTGCATACAAATAAGAGTAATATAACACGATCAGATAATAGATATTAGGAAAAAAGATATTACAGCTCTTAAGACCGCCTTTTCCACTACTTTGACCCTCTGCAGATATTCTTCCTTCAAATTATCAGGTAGCCACTTGCAATCTCTGACATGGCAGCAATATTCAAGACATGTTTAGCATTATTCAAATCAAGAACCAAAGTTATCTACACTTTAACTTCTAAACCACGTGTAATGAGAAGTTAATTAGACTGTGAATAAGAATCATTGTTATGAGAGCTTTTCATGTAGACATAAGCTCTCTGTTGGCACTATGCTGCAATGCGTTTCATGAGATTGCATACCAGCCACAGCTTCTATACAAATGATAATCTCACAATAACACAGAGACACCAGCCCACAGCATATATCTCAATTCCAAGTAAATGTTTAAAAAAGAAGGGGTAACATGTTCAGATTGTCACTATCTAGAACGAAACACATGTTCTAATGATTTCAATCAAACAATTAACACTAACACTAGACTATAATTTATGGAGCATGTTTCTAATAATTAGCATTATCCATATTTTTACTAAACAAATCAACTCCACATTTAAATGTAAAAAAAATATAGAAGCATTTGATACTTGGAAAACTTGGAATCGTGATAAGCAGCCACCACTGCTGTTTTCAAAATCCTCATCGAATTCTCACTGAACCTCCTGACCCTTGCAATTGACAACATAACAGCAACTGTAAAATGATTGAAAGCTCGGACATCCGACTTCACGAGCCCGATAACCTCTTTTCCCAAAGACGGGTCCTGCTTCACTGCGAAATTAAAATGAAGCAAGACAGTCCCTTCAACTTGCCTAACAATTGAGGTTACCTTAGACCCCATTTTCGACCCAAAAAACCCCACGATCCCTTCAATAACCTCCCTCTTATTAAACCCTTTCGACGCCAAAACAAGTAACTGGTACACAAGTGAAGGCAAATCTTGCAAGTCCACAATCTTCATTTCATCAAACACCTTCTCCAAAAACTCTCTACACCTCCCCTTATCGACAAACCCGAAATCCTTTACAAGTGAAACCATCTTAATTAAAAGTCCCTTCGACCAATTGCAATCAAGAACACGATCAAATACAGAATTAACATAATCTCCACCCCTCTCGCTTTCTCTTATCAAATCAAAACACTTGGGCAAAAGATCAAGCAACTGGGCATCATCCAAATTCACAATATGTAATATATCCAATACAATTAAGTCCACAGCTGATTTGAGATCTTTAATTGGCACTTGATTTAATAGGGTACTGAAGAAATGAATTGTTTTGATAGAATTTGTGTCACGTGGGATTTTAAGCGAGGTGAAGAGATTAATGTAATTGACGAGAAGTGAGGAAAGCAGAGAAGAGAGAGAGGGAGTTTGAGGAGAAAGAGAGATTAAGGAGAGAAGAGAATGGGTATATTCTGAAACTGCGAGAGAAGGAGAATGGGAAGAGGAGCGAGAGTGCAGAAAGGAAATAAGCGCTTCGTGGGATTCTGAAGAGGGGAGATATGAAGACACTGAGAAGCTGGTTTGATGGTGGTCTTCAGCTAGGCGGATGATGTCGGCGTCGGTGAGTGGTGGCGCTGCGGCGGTGGTCATGGTGGTGATGGTAGTTCAGGCAGTGCTCTGTCTCGACTTTTTTTTTTTTTTTTAAGTTTACAGTTTTGAGAATTTTTGAAAAAGCGGGAATTTGGGTTTTAGTTTTAGTTTTTACACGTCAGTTTTGCGCGGGAACATTTTCGGCCAGCTCTCAAAAATTCAAAATTGCTTGAGGCCTTCAGCTGCACTTCTTTTAAACGGAGAAATACTAATTACTGCGTGTACAGTTGTACAACTTACAATAACATATGCGAAAAATACTACTCTTATAAAGACCCATATAAAAAGAGCTATAAAATAATATCATTCAGAAGAAAAAAACAAAAAAAAAACAGAAAAAGAGAAAGAGAGTGAGAAAAATCATAAAAATCAATGATGGAGATTGTCTTTGTATGCCCTCTTTGTATGTATCTTTGTAAAACTAGCATTGCTTTAACATATGCCCGGAAAAGTAATATTATGCATACAAAATTGTTTATTCATGTAAACTATTTCTTATAAATTGACATATAATTATGTATAAATTGACATATAATTATGTAATATTTTTTAATTATTTAATTTATTTTTAATTTAAAATCATTCAATTATCTCAAAACACATCAATTTATGTAATAAGTAAATTTGTATGAAAAGTTTATATACAAAGTAGTATCCTAAATTTATTATGAGTTAGGCATAGGCATTAATTTGACTACAACAAATTAAAACACATAATGTCATTTACACAATAAAATTTATATCATTGAGTTAGACAGACAATCAGGGTGTAAATGAGTTGAATCGAGCTGGACACGAGCTCGACTTGACTACTATAGTGTCGAGCTCGAGTTCGACCAAGCTTAAGACATTTAGCTCGAGCTCAAGCTTGGCATAGAAAAGGCAAAGCTCGAGCTCGAGCTTAAGCAGGTAGAGCCACCATGGCCGCAAAAACATAAGTTGAAAAAGCATGTTATCCAGAGAAACCACACATATTTCTATTAAAAGTATAAGGTTTGAAACACTNATATTTTTTAATTATTTAATTTATTTTTAATTTAAAATCATTCAATTATGTCAAAACACATCAATTTATATAATAAGTAAATTTGTATGAAAAGTTTATATACAAAGTAGTATCCTAAATTTATTATGAGTTAGGCATAGGCATTAATTTGACTACAACAAATTAAAACACATAATGTCATTTACACAATAAATTTTATATCATTGAGTTAGACAGACAATCGGGGCATAAATGAGCCGAATCAAGTCGAATATTTGATTATTTGATTGCTCGAGCTCGGCTTGACTACTATAGTGTCGAGCTCGAGTTCGACCAAGCTTAAGACATTTAGCTCGAGCTCAAGCTTGGCATAGAAAAGGCAAAGCTCGAGCTCGAGCTTAAGCAGGTAGAGCCACCATGGCCGCAAAAACATAAGTTGAAAAAGCATGTTATCCAGAGAAACCACACATATTTCTATTAAAAGTATAAGGTTTGAAACACTTAACATTCAAAAACATAGTTTACAGAAAATGTAAACTTTAATATTCACATTGATTAAAAAAAAAAAAAAGATAGTGAAAGTCAAGGAAAGAGAGAGAAAAATAAGCTTTACCTAAGGGAGGCAGTGGCCGAACTTTGTTGGTTGTGTGTTGGGCTTCGGCGTGCAAAACTTTCGGTTTTGTTTTAGGGGTTTTAGATTATCAGATTTCGGAGAGGACGAAAATTACACATGTTGTCAAAAGTCGCCCTCAAAGGTCTTAGGTGGCGACAACAGATTCTTGAACGGCTCAGAGAACTTCTTTTATGACTTTCCTTTAAGATCTAGAGAACTGAAACTCTGAAAGTATAGGGGCTAGTTAAAGCCAACCCCCTACGAAAGAAAAATTCCGCTTTATTGTAAATTAGGATTTAGGGTATTTGGGAATAGGGGGTGTGTTTGTCACTTTTCAAACTGGTAAATTACATATACCCCTTTGAGCTCAAGAAAATTTAGCTGACCGACCATCCCAAGTTTGGATTTAAAAAATATGGCCTTGAAACTGTTTTGCATTTTTTTCCAATTTAGAGAAGCTAATGTGGCACAGTTAGGATCCATTAAACATGTAAAATTAGTTAAAATGAAAAGATTAAAACATATAAGGACAATCATAATTAATGAAAGTTTTTAAAATTTGAAATTTGAAAAAGAGCCCCACCCATTCAAATCGCTTAATCGAAGCCAATTAAGGCAAAAATCGATATCTTCAATCCCTAAATGCATCTGTGCAATTTCTGGCGATAACAGTCCACATTCCGACAAATTTTCACACCCAAATTCAATCCTAACGCTTCTACCTTTCTTAAAACTATGGCTGACATTCACAATGAGGATGAAAACCCAACGCCTCTTCGAATCATAGAGTCCGGCCGCGCAAGCAGTTCAATGGCTGCTTCGGTGGATCCTCCGATTAGTGAAGGTGTTCCAGCAGCGGATACGACGGCGACACAACAAGAGAGAGAACAGAAGCAAAACGATTCTGAAGAAGAAGAGGAGGCCGGGCAGAATTCAGGCCAGGAAGAGGAGTCCAGCGAGAGTGAGGAGGAGGAGGAGGAGGAGGCCGCCAAAGAGGAGGAGGCTGCCGAAGAAAAGGCATTTGTACTTGCCGAGACCTAAGATCGCTTAAGCGATCCTTGGTATCGCTTAAGCGATTGATGGCTTTTACTCTTGGTCGCTTAAGCTATTTTGGATTGCTTAAGAGTAAAAGCGATGAATTGCTTAAGCGATATAAACGATCGCTTAAGCGATCTTAGATCTGGCAGATGTTGATGCTGCCTCGTACAAGATCTCTTAAGCGATATGTAATCGCTTAAGCGACTAAGAGTAAGAGTGATGAATCGCTTTTACTTTTGGTCGCTTAAGCGATCTCTTCCGAGGTAGAACAAAATCTGCCAAGATCTATAATCTCTTAAGCGATCATTTGTATCACTTAAGCGATTTCAGATCGCTTAAGAGATCTTGTATGAGGCAGAATCATCTGCCCATCGCTTAAGTGATTCTTCCGTAGCATATTTTGTTTATATTTGATTTGGTTTAATTTTTTTGCTGATATTTTGTTTATATCGATTGTGCAGATTTTCCGGAGCGTAAACTATAGAAAGTACGGATTGGAGGTTGTAAGCGATACGATATCGTACTTCCCTGTGAGGGTGACATTGAGGTCAAGTTGGGATGTTTCAACGAGAATAACGAGGATTTTAGGGACAATGAGGAATGGTGAAAGGAGATTCAAAGAGACTTGTTTTAGTCATTTTTGGGATATGGACACAAAATGGAAAAAGACATTCTAGGGGTCGGGAGTGCATTATATGTTGCTGCACTAAATAAAAAGCAACAAAAAGCATGAAATGTGGTTCATGGTGGATGGAAAGCCATAACGTTTTGGGATGATGGAATATGCGTTGGTGACTGGCTTAAGATATGGGGAATTGCCAGGCGAGGTTGAGGAAAAAAGAATAACGGATAGTACAGGAGCCAAAAGGTTGGCTAACAAGGTTTTGGCGGGGAACAAGTCTATTAAGGCACAGGAATTAGAGGACAGGTTAAAAGATGGTGAGTTTAACGATTCAGAGACGTTCAAATTGTGCTTGGTATTGTTCTTACATTCGATCCTAGTGGCTAGTGACTCAACAAAAGCCATTGATATTGATTGGGTGAAGTTTGTAAGCAACTTGAACTTCTTTAATGCTTATCCGTGGGGACGGGTATCATTTAAGTGAACCATGGAGTCCCTACAAGCAAAAGACCTAGCGTTAAAGCACTCCCAATGGGCCGAGAAGAAAAGACTGGCGACGTACAATTTTTTTGGCTTCCCATGGGCAATTCAGGTAAATATTAATAGCTTTTTGTTATATTTTTTTTAATATATGTGTTTGAATTATGATATGGACTGTTTTTTTACAATGTAGGCTTGGATGTATGAGGTCATCCATGTCCTGGCTAAGGCAGGAGGGAGGATTAGGGCTTCGGTTGTGCAACAGACATTTCCTAGGATGTTGTGGTGGCACGACCAGAAGTGTACCCATTCGGATTATGAGCAAATAGAGATTGAAATTCAATCAGTTCGGGTAAGATTAAAGGATTAAGCTTGAACATGCACTTGCTTTAAAATGTCGTTTAAATCTGATTGATTTTGTTTCTTATTACATGGGGGTTGTCCGTCCCTTCCTCACCCCTACTGGGGGTGAAGCGCAACAGTACTATGTCACATCTTTTCGAGCATTGGAGGATCAAAGGGATGAAAGGATAGACCGCCTGATGCGGGACCTACAAGGGGTCACACATGTGAGGGCAGTTGCAGGGCTACTGCTTGAGAATGTGGTTGAGGCCGAGGAGGATGAAGCCGCATCAGTGGGAGGGAGGAGGAGGAGGGGATAGAGGAAGAGGTTCGTATGCCTCAGCAAACCGATACAACAAGTACCACTTTGCCGAGGCCTGGGAGTCAGGAGAGTGAGGTGGTTGAACTCATAAAGAGTTTGTTTGATAAGATGGAAGAGCAGTTGAAAAGGGTGGAGGAGAAAGTGGATAAGGTGGCAGAGAAAGTTTTTAGGGTGGAGGAGGAAGTTGGTAGGGTGCAGAAAGAAGTTGGTGGAGTATTGAAGGCGGTTAAAGTGCAACCTGGGCTGAAAAGAGAGAGCCGAAAAAGTAGGTTTGTGAAATCGCCTTACACCATACTAACACATGGAACTAAAAGGAAAACAAAGAAACAAATTGAGGAAGAAGCCAAAATTGAGGGGGTTAAAGAGGTTTCTGGAGGAAGTGGGGTAGTTATAATAGAGGAGGTTGAGGCAGGAGGCGAAGGAAGCGGGGATGTACAAATAGAGGAAGGGGAAGGAAGCGAGCAAACAAAAATGGAGTCCACTGTTGATTTGTATAGGCTAATAGAGAAGGAAAAGAAAAAACCCTTCCATGCCTATTACAATGAATCCGGAAGTGATGCCCTTGTAAAGTGTAAGACCGGGGATTATTCCCGGGATTGGTTTGAAAAGATTTTGACGATGGGCAGCTGGCTTCACGACTCGGTGAGTTATTTTCGCTTAATTTTCCTTATTTTTGCTTATGTTTTCCATGAGGTATTGTATACTTATCATGTTGTTTTTATTTGATGCAGCACATCGATGAGGTATTGGCACTGATGAGGCCGCGACAAACCAGCAATGGTGATCTACTATATCCCGATTGTGCTATCACCGATGTGGCCTTTGGCCAAACACTGGTGTTGACATATCGCAATTTATTGAAAAAGGCCATTGGTACATCTGTAGCAAAAGGAGTCAAGCGAAAATGATCGGGCACAAAAGACTTGGACTGCATCCCTAATGATTTTAGGTTTGATGACAGGATGATGCAGTATGTAATGGGGGACAGACCCAAATATGGCCACAGTTGGACAAAGGTTAAAAGTGTCTACTGCATCATCCTTGTCAAGGAAATGCACTGGATACTAGTCGTCGCTCTCTTAGAGGAGAGGTTGCTGAAGATCCTTAACTGCAACCCAACAATTTGTCGAGATAGGCAATTGGAGGCTGAGTTGGAGCCACTGTCCGTGTTGTTCCCACAGCTGTTACGCGAGAGCAGGATGTTTGAGCACCTCGGTGATGAAGCATTGACGGGAAAGTGGCCACTCAAGCACGTTCCCGTCCCAACAAATGAGTCAAGGTAAATTTTGTATAAAACTAACTTACATAATACAATTGTTCTANTCAAAAATAATTCTTTTAATAACATTAAAAATGTAAAACACTTTTAATTGGATCATAATTCCAATTATTCACTTAATCAATCAAAATTTTAATATTAATGTATTATAATATATCAAAGTTTTTAATATGGTGTAATTTATATGTAATAAATATAATTGTATTCGTATATTTATTTAATTAGGTTATTCTAAAAATTTAATTTTTTCTATTTAATTTTTTTTATTTTATAAAACAATAGAAACCCTCAATTATTCATATTTCACAAATATTTCATTGTAGTCCAGGTTCCAAAACAGGTTTCAAAACAGGTTCCAAACATGTTATAAACAGGTTCCAAACAGGTTCCAAAAATCTGTTCCAAACCGGGTACCTCCTACAAGTTCCAAACATGGTACTCTTTTTACAAGTTCCGGTTCCGGTTCCTCCACACACAAGAACCGGAACCGGAGCCGGAACCGCACAGTATCGGTTCCAAAAAATTAGAACTGGAACCTACCCGTATAGTATCGGTTCTAGGTAGGTTTCGATTCCGGTTCTATCCGCTACCCGTGCTCACCCCTAGTGACAACAAACTTTTGAACGGCTCAGAGAACTTCTTTTATGACTTTCCTTTAAGATATAGAGAACTGAAACTTTGAAAGTAGAGGGCTAGTTAAAGCCAACCCCCTACAAAAGGAAAATTCCGCTTCATTGTAAATTAGGATATAGGGTATTTGGGAGTAAAGGGTGTGTTTGTCACTTTTCAAACTGGTAAATTACATATATCCCCTTTGAGCTCTCTGAAGCTCGCAAGTTGGTTGAGCCAGAGAACTCAAACTCGACTCGACTTAGTCAACAAGCCGCTTGAGCTCGAGCTTTTCTTGAGCTAAGCTTGCAAGTGGCTGGGCTGACACCCCTAAATAATTATTTTTGTTGTTAATTTGATATCAATCAAGATGACAAAGATTTATGGATACGAGTCATTTTTTTTTCATAAAAATCTCTTAATTGTGTTATCTTAGGATGATTTAAAACATTATATAATATAAATTTAAGGTGAAGATTGAAGTTCAGCTATGAATTGTCTTTTTTTTTTTTCCTTCATATATGTGAATTTCAGTGGTTAATTTTGCTTATATATTATTAAATTTGCATAATTTTGGAATTATGTATGTTCTGTATTAAATTATATTTTAATAAAAAGAGTAAGCGAATATTATGGCATGTCCCTGAGGAACTGTTAAGAAGGATATCATTGAAATGTGTGAACTTTGGAAATATCGAGATAACTCCTCCACTGCAAATATCGTGGAATTCTATTATACATCCCTTTCCAATATTCATTCTTAAAAGTCCCCAATTAAAATATGACACGTGGACCTGTATCAATTATGTCAACCGGTTCAGCCCTAATCCATTTCTCTTCTAGACTGTCAAACGTGGCTTTTTGTTACACGAACACATGATCCTTAATTGAGTCTTTCGAGAAAATATATATTTAATAGACGGTTAGCTCATCTTTGATTCCACTCGCTTCTTCACGCGTGGGAGCACCACCCATCACGATCAAAATCAAGACTAACCCTATCAAGAAAAAATAAAAAATAAATGTGACATATCTTGAGCATGGTTGTGACAAAAAAACATTTTTAATTATAATGTAATGTGAAAGAATCTGTATTTATTTTATAATAAAGTAACCCAACGTTTGTGCTTGATAATCAAATGGAAAGGAATTAATAATATTATTGACGTTATTTTTTAACCTAAAAATTATAATTTAAATATGCCATAATAGTGTTAATGATCTCGATATCTTAATTAAAGTAAAAACCAACTAAACTAACTTTGAAAAGTATCCAATTATACAAATCACGATTCATATCCATATTAATAAATTTGAAATAATTATTATATAGTATTAAGTATCCAACCCATATTTATACTAATGTCAATTAATAATTTAACTAGTAATATCTTTTGTTAATTTAACTTACCCGTAGATAACTCAGATGATTATGATGAAATTAAGAATAATATGAAGGGAGAACGACTTATACATATCCAATGTTTGTCGAAACGATAAGTTGATACCCAAAAGGTTTTAAAATGATAAATGGATACCTTCCGTCATGTTCTGTTAGTGATTTTGGTTAGATAATAGTGAAAAGACTAAAATACCCTTGAAAGTTTAATTTTTAGTTTTTTATAAATTTAAAAATTTCTAAAAAACCCTCTAGGTTTGCTAATTTGACTAAACACCCCAATATATAAAATTTTTATAAAATAACAAAAACACCCCCGCCACCCCTGTAGTGCCAGATTCCGGCCACCACCGCCGGAATCTGGCCGGAAAATTGTGTTACGACACAGACCCGTCGGATCTGTGTCGTAACACACCGATCTGGCCTTTTTCGTCCAGATCTGGCCTTTTCCGGCCAGATCATCCACGGATCTAGCCGGAAAACGCCAAATCGACGTGTTACGACACAGATCCGATGGGTCTGTGTCGTAACACAATTTTCCGGCAAGTTTTCGGTCACAACGGCCAGATCTGGCTGTAGATCTGGTCTTTTCCGGCCAGATCAGCCACGGATCTTGTCGGAAAATGAAAGATCTACGCGTTACGACACAGATCCGATGGGTCTGTGTCGTAACGCAATTTTCCGGCCAGATTCTGGCGATGGTGGCCAGAATCTGGCACTGCGGGGGTGCCGGGGGTGTTTTTGTTATTTTATAAAATTTTTATATATTGGGGTGTTTAGTCAAATTAGCAAACCTAGGGGGTTTTTTAGAAATTTTTAAATTTGTAAAAAACTAAAAATTAAACTTTCAAGGGTATTTTAGTCTTTTCACTATTATCTAACCAAAATCACTAACAGAACATGACAGAATGTACCTATTTGTCGTTTCAAAACCTTTTAGGTATCAACTTGATGTTTCAATAAACCTTAGGTATGCATAAGTCGTTCGGCCTAATATGAATATACACATAGTATAGATTCATTCTCTATTTAAATATCTCTGCATCTTTGATTTAAGTGAAAAGTTATGACGATGAGTTACTACGTTAGTTTAGACATCTTAAATTATATACAATATTCTTTAGGGATTGTTACGCTAGTTCAAACACCCTAATTTATATACGACCTTCTTCAAGAAAAATTCAATAACATTTTTTTTTTTTAAATTTTGTTTAAACTTAAATGAACGTGTTTTCCGTGGCGTCATTTTCAATAAATAATATCTTCTATTTTAGCTGAATAATGTGATTAAGTAACGCGTGTTTTTACACTCCTCAACCGAGAGTGGGCTTCAGGCAGGCAATCCTCATTTAGATGACGTAGATGCACACAACATTACAGTTCTTTCTTACTGGAGTTACCTTACAAGCAACCTCTTCAAAAGTCAGTGTCACGTTTAACAAACGGAGCTCATACATTATTCACACGAACTAAGCTTCAGTTTTCTCAATCTCATTGCAGCCAACGCAAACTCATACTGCAGAAATTAAGAGACGGAGAGAAAAAATTACAGCTCCTGATGGGGAAGGGAAGAACAACGATCGAGGTTGGAGCTGATGGGGTTGCTCTCATCACCATCATCAATCCTCCTGTTAATTCTCTCTCTTTTGATGGTACTTTTTTTTTTCTTTTTCTTTTTTTAAATTTCTTATGTTAGATCTTATATTTTAATTTGTGTCTGTGATTAGTTTTTATTGTTATTGTTATTGTTATGGAATTTTATTTTGCGTGTATCAATTTGAGCCCATTTTCCAGTTGAGCATAATTTGATGGTTTTGGAGATATTGATTTTGTTTTGATCTGATGTGACAAGCTGATGAAACACAACGGCGTTGAATTTGCAATAGCGTGTTGATGATATGGCAGTTGTAACATTTAACTTTCTAATCCTGACTATTTCTTTCTTTGAAACTAAACTTTTATTTTTCTTTGCAAAGTTAAGCGGAGTGATGTTGATAATGATTTGGTTTAATAGTAGCAACAGTTGAATTGATAAGAGTAGGAGTCTGGATCTTTAGCTTAGAGAAAAAAGGGTGCAATGTGAATTTAATATTAGACTCTGGTTGAGTGATGTAATAATATGAACTATAACGGTTGGAGTGGAATTCTTCTTAAATCTATTTGTGGGAAAAACAGATACAGCAATTGAAGTCAACTTGAATGAGGTGTAATCTGCACATGCTATCGAGAAGCATGTGTTTTAGAGATTTTTTTTGAATTATTTAACTGTTTGGTCGAATTGTGAACTTTACTGTATGAAGAACTTCTAATGTAATCCAGGTGATCGATTAGAATTGAATTCTTATTTGGAATTATATCATTTGCCCAATTCTCTGTCTATTTCAGATAGGCTTTCGAAACTCATTTTTGTAAGAATGCTTTGTTTATATTATTGAATGAACACTCTATTCCTAATAAATGTGGTTAATAGTCTAACCCATTTCTCTCCTATCCCCAGTGTTAAGGAGCCTGAAAGAGAGTTATGACCAGGCCTTACACAGAGATGATGTGAAGGCAATTGTTGTTACAGGTAAGTGGGTGGATGAGTGGGGATAATATATGCTTATAATGAAATGTTTGATGTTGCATCCATTATCTGTCTAGCATTGTAGATGAATATGATAAGAAACTAACACCTTATGTTACTGGAGCAGGAGCCAAGGGTAAGTTTTCTGGTGGCTTTGACATTTCTGGTTTTTCCGGAGTTCAAGAAGGAAAAGGTATGCTTTCTGTTTCACATGTCTCTTTCTCCTGGTAATACGTCGAGTGAGCTCTGTCAGTGATGTTTCTGTTATGTTTTCTCAGCGGAGCAGTCGGGTGGTGCTATATCAATAGAGATTCTAACTGACACTGTAGAAGGTATGTACTTAGTTTGCTGAATTGTACTTCTCTGTGTTGACTATTAAACTGGTGCGTTGTTTTCCAGCTGCAAGAAAACCTTCAGTTGCTGCCATTGAGGGACTTGCCTTGGGTGGAGGTTTAGAGGTTGCAATGGTATGTCCCAGTTCTTTTGGAATTGAGACTGTTGTTAATAATTTTGTTTGATGATCTGATAATTTTGGTTTGTCAGGCCTGCCATGCACGGATATCAACCCCTACTGCACAGTTAGGCCTTCCTGAACTTCAACTAGGAATCCTTCCTGGATTTGGAGGTATGCCTATTTAATTTTAATGCTCTATTATGCTATTTAATTCATTGACAGCATTTTAATCATACTCAAAGTTTAAAGTCTTTTGATATGATGACATCACTTTTTTTTCTTCCAATTTTTCCAAAAAAAGTTATGAAGGTTCTCTGCATCATCAATCTCTCTCTGTGTCCGATTTGGTGAATTTTATTTTTTGCTCTCAATTTTAGGGGTGATATTTTTGTTACTTTGCTTGTTGTTGTTTTTCTATAGAATATTGTAGATCATTTGACTGAAAGAATTAGACTTGGATGTGTGAAATGAAGAATTTCTTTTGCACTGTTACTGAACCAACAAATGCCTGTTGAACTAAAGCAGATATTTTTAAATCAAATCTATTAAATATAGGAAAACATCACAGATATACTGCTACCAGCTTTTGGTACATATTATTAGGTGTTCATGGGGCCGAGTACGTAGAAATTGATTCAACTGTGTTGAGAATTTTGGTAAACATGAATAACTATACAGCAAAGGGACTATGTCATAAACACAGTTGGGCAAGTTGATAGTTATTGGTTATTAATGTGCACATAGGAGCAAGTTAGCTGAGATAACTTGATGATTTGCAATTAGATGTGATATTTGTTCATTTCCTGACACCATCAGGACAAGAGGAAGGTCAAACAAAAAAGAAACATTTTTTTGGGGTGGTGGTTTGGTTGTGACTTGTTAAATTGAAAAACTGTTTTCCCTTCTTTGTCCATCTGAAATATCTTTCCTTATACTTTAGTCAAGATCTAGTTGTGAAGTTCTCATATATAAGACCTAGTTGAATGATGGATTGACAGTATTACACATAAATTGGCAAATGTTGTTCTTTAGATAATCTGGCCTGATGTGCAGATTGAAGTCTAGAGCCTATGTTGGATATAAGTTTTAATGTCATTCATGTTTGTACAATGCCAACACTGAATCAACAATATTATGCACGATTCCCAACATTTTAAATGAAAATTTATTAAGTGATGGCCGAAGTCATTTTACAACTTTAGCAGGTGAATAACAATTATAAGATATTGAATTTGACATGTTAATGTTGTTTAATGCTGCTTAGTAATCAATAGGTTCCTTTGTATTTTCACTCAAATGCTCTTGAATTGTCTCAGGAACACAGCGACTTCCACGTCTTGTTGGTATTACAAAGTCCCTTGAAATGATGTTGGTATGTTGTTGCCACTTCTTTGTCTTGCTGGAATATAAGTTTGGTGTACTTTGATGTGGTTGCTGTATGTATTTCAATTAATATCTCTCTCTCCTTCCTGCCCCCAAATAGACTTCAAAACCAGTTAAAGGGGAGGAAGCTCATGATTTGGGCCTTGTGGATGCCGTTGTTGCACCGAGTCAGTTGATAAGCACTGCACGTCAATGGGCCCTGGATATCTTGGAACGTAGAAGACCGTGGGTTGCTACTCTTTACAAGACTGATAAGTTAGAACCCCTTGGGGAGGCAAGGGAAATATTCAAGTTTGCAAGGGCTCAGGCCAGGAAGCAGGCTCCAAATCTTAAACATCCAATAGTCTGCATTAATGTTGTTGAAGAGGGTGTGGTTTCTGGTCCTCGGGCAGGACTCTTGAAGGTCCTTATCTACTCTAATTTTTTTCTGCTTCCTTCCTGTTGTTACTAGCACGCAATTTTCTGACAATGGAATTTATTTGGCAGGAAGCTGAAGCTTTCCAAGAACTTGTACATTCTGACACCTGCAAAAGTTTGATTCATATCTTCTTTGCTCAACGTGGAACCTCAAAGGTTTGAATGAAAGTCACTGCTAGAATTGATTTTTGTTCGTCTGTATATGTTAGTATAAGTTCCAGCCATAAATTTGGGTTATGTTGGAGGATTTTGCATTTTTATTTTGACTCTTTTATGTTTCAGCAAAAAATAGTTGGTCCAATTTGTCTTGATGTTGGTTAATATGATTTGTAAAACCAATTAATATAGGCTTGTTTACTCATGAGAAGTTTAAAATTCCAAGTTAGGTAGTTATTTTCTTCCTTTTGACTTTTAATAACACTTAGGCTTCTCAAGAATGGAATTAAGTAGGGAAGTTTTTGGGTGTAGACAAGTATAGGTTGTTGAACTTCCAATCTGTTGAAAATATTCTTTAATAGATCCTGGAAAATCCTGTATTTACTGCTGATATTCATTTTGCTTATGGATTGCATGGTTTATGGGCATGCCTAACTTCAAGCTCAACCATGATGGATAAAAAACTGACTGGCTTACATTTAGACATGTAGATAGGCATTTTGTGTTATATGATTTGAAATGAACTTGAAAATTATGACTTCCTAGTGATATTTATGACTTTTAATGCTTGAATTATTTTACATTTGCAACCTTAAGAAGCTTCACCAGCAGTGAGAATTAGTTAAATTTCTCAACCATGTGTTCTTGCTCTGACAGTTGCAATCTTATTTCAGTCCTAATAACGCCGACTATTGATGCTTTAATCTTCTAACTTCTCTGTCATTTGTCTCTTCCCAACGGACAGGTTCCTGGGGTAACTGATCTTGGTTTGATGCCACGACGAGTGAATAAGGTTGCAATTCTTGGTGGAGGATTAATGGGCTCTGGAATAGCTACTGCATTGATTCTTAGTAGTTATCCTGTGATTCTGAAAGAAGTAAATGAGAAGTTCTTGGAGGCTGGGATCAATAGAGTCAGAGGTGGGACTAGAGCCATGCTTTATCTTGTACATTACGGTTATATAGGGCAATTCACAATTATTTTATTGTACTATTTTTTTCAGCCAATCTGCAAAGCCGTCTCAAAAAAGGACAAATGACCCAGGAGAAGTTTGACAAGACCATGTCTCTCCTTAAGGGTGCTTTGGACTATGAGAGCTTCAAAGATGTTGATATGGTCATTGAGGTACTGCAGTGTGCATGCTGATTTACTCTAGTATTTGTTTGTCATCCTAAAGTTTGACTGTTTACTTTTTCAATTTGTTGTTGATGCTTTGAAACAGGCTGTTATTGAAAATGTTTCTTTGAAGCAACAAATTTTTGCTGATCTTGAAAAATATTGTCCACCACATTGCATACTTGCAAGTAACACTTCCACAATTGACTTGAATTTGATCGGTGAGCACACCAAGTCCCAGGATCGGATTGTTGGAGCCCATTTCTTCAGGTAGTATTTCGTGTGAAATTGTCATTGCTTTTCACTTTTCAGCATCTATCTTGGCTCAACAGTTGACTTGTGCTTTTGATGCAGTCCGGCTCATATCATGCCACTCTTGGAAATCGTTCGTACCAATAAGACTTCTCCCCAAGTGATTGTGGACTTACTTGATATTGGTAAAAAGATAAAGAAGACTCCAGTTGTGGTCGGTAATTGCACAGGCTTTGCTGTCAACAGAATGTTTTTCCCTTACACACAAGCTGCTTTTTTGCTTGTTGAACGTGGAACAGATCCTTATCTGATTGATAGAGCAATTACCAAATTTGGAATGCCAATGGGTCCTTTCAGGTACTTAATTAATTTGCAAATTATGATTTGGTAACTGTGTTCTCACTGTTGTTTTTTTTGAAGTTTTATGTCGCATTGAATGGGCTTTATGTGTTTCATTTGTTTATGCAGATTGGCTGACCTTGTTGGTTTTGGAGTGGCAATTGCAACTGGCATGCAATTTATCGAGAATTTCCCTGAGAGAACTTATAGATCAATGATTATCCCAATAATGCAAGAGGATAAAAGAGCAGGTAGAGTTTTGTTGAGCTCAATGAATCTGGCAATTTGCCTCTGATCAAGATTTGTTTAACTTCTTGTTAGAATTCCTTTTAAGTGTTTTGCGTCTAATATGCACTTATTTTAGGTGAAACCACCCGCAAAGGATTCTACTTGTATGATGATAAACGCAAAGCTAGACCAGATCCTGAACTAAAGAAATACATTGAGAAGGCTCGGAGCATTTCTGGTGTTGCCATTGACCCAAAGGTCACTCTCTCTCATCCCTTCTCTCTACTTGGGGTATAAATTTATCTTGTACTGATATTTTATGGGATCAAATTGGGATACAGTTTTCTAAATTACCAGAGAAGGACATTGTGGAGATGATATTCTTCCCAGTGGTTAATGAGGCCTGTCGAGTATTTGCCGAAGGTATTGCAGTCAAAGCTGCTGACCTTGATGTTGCTGCTGTTATGGGCATGGGTTTTCCACCTTACAGGTTTGTAGATTTATTTATTTAGGTGTTCCCTTTCCAAACTCCATAGTATATTGGCTTTAATAATATGCTTCAATTTTTATCAGGGGAGGTATCATGTTCTGGGCCGACTCTCTTGGATCCAAGTACATCTATTCAAGATTGGAGGAATGGTCAAAACTGTATGGAGATTTTTTCAAGCCTTGTGCTTTCTTGGCTGAAAGAGCAGCCAAGGGAGCTCCTCTGGTGGGTAATCTGAAACACAACATCTTTTTTTGTTATCATTAAAATGCAAAGGCCATTAATTTTGATGCCATCCATTCTATAAATTTAATAGGGTCAGTTAATGCCTTAATCATCGTGTCACGGCTAGGATCATCTAATGGGCCCTCTTAGTTTTAGGACAGCCAAATCTTTAGAGAAGAGCCAATTGATTGTTAGCTACTTGATTTCCATTCATTGAACGGCCAAAATTTGTACCCATTTGTTTCCACTAGGTAATAAAATTAAAAAATTGGGACCCATGACCCCTTTGATCTCCTGGCTGTGCATGCTGCATGTCACAAAGTGGACCACCGAATTTCTCAGCCAGAGACTACTAACTTTTACTGTGTTGTTGCTATAGTTTTATCTTTAATACATTTTAGCTTTACCTAATATCATTTGCGGTGATTGTTGCAGAGTGCTCCGTTGGAACAGACCAAGTCAAAATTATAACTGTACTAGCTCGTTGTAGTGGGGCTTTGGTTCAGATGTTTGTTTCTTGCATGCCTGTGTTTTACAACTCCGATGCTGTAATATATACTCGAGGAGCCAAATAACGTTGAGATAATAAAGTGATGTAAGATGTTTAGCAAATGGCCTGGACATCTCGAAATGTAGTCTCATAGGCATTCTTAAAGGCAAAATATTTTACTTTCAGCTCTCTTACTATTGCCCTTTTGCTGTCAACCCGGAAAATAGTTACTAATGAGCAAAAATTGGAATCTCTTGTGCACAAATTGGAGAGGACCATATATAATACAGCAGAGATTGTAGTAATAGTATAAAGTGGGATGATTATCTGCTGCTGATTCCAACAAAAATAACAATCAACTAGCAAATAAATGAGTTTGAAAACATTGGAGATGGTGTTCACCAGAGCAATCTTTAAAACTTAATCCGAAAGTTTGTAATAGGGTAAGGGGTACTTTTTCTCCATGTATAATTTTGAGATTGTTGAACTTTTTGTCATCATTTTTTGTCTTATTGAAAACGTGTGTTTTCCAGAAGTTGGACATGGAACCATGAAGGTTCTCTGCACATTTTACAACATAAAAAAAGAAAAATGAAAAAAATGAAAGAAATGCTACAGAAATCACAAACAAACTCTACAAAGTCAGTGACTCCTTTACAATCATTGTAGTAAGAGGACAAATACTACAGAAAACTTAAAACGAGAGCAAAATTTACAGAAAAAGAAACCAAGCCAATGGGTAAGGGAAGAACACGATGGAGTGGCTCTTCACCATCATCAATCCTCCGTCAATTCTCTCTCTTTGACGGTACTTATTTATTTTAATATTTAATGTCAAATCTATATTTTAAATGTATTCTTTTTGTTGTGATCTGAATGACAAGCTTGTTCTTCAAAAAGCCTTAGAATGGCAAAAGTTTGGTACTGATGTGGCAGGTTTTTATAACAATAATTTTCTGACTATTCCATTGAAACTAAACGACATTTTCTTTTCTTGCAAAGTCAAGCGGAGTAGGTTTGCTGATATTGGTTTAATAGTATCAATAGTCGAACTGAGAATAGTTGGAGTGTGGATCATCAACGTAGAGAAAAGAGGGTCCATGTGAATTTAATATTAGACTCTAGTTAATACATTTTGGGCTATACTAAGATCAGTAGAAGTAGCTTGATATGGTGTACTAACTTTCCTTTGAAACTTAAATCGACAGAAGCATGTGTTCTGGGGATTTTTTTTGGTTGAATTATTAACTGTTTGGTCGTAGATTGGAATTGTGAACTTTACTTTATTGTTTGAAGAGCTCTAATGTAATCCAGGGGACTGATTAGAATGAACACTGTATTCCTTATAAATGTGGAAAAATGTCTAAGTCATCTCTCTCTTCTGCCCAGTTATAAGGAGCCTGAAAGAGAATTATGACCAAGCCTTACACACAGATGATGTGAAGGAATTGTTGTTACGGGTAAGTGAGTGGATGAGTGGAGATAATAACTTATATACAACTGGCATCCAGTGTTTGTGTATCATTGTAGATGAATGTGATGCGAAGCTAACATCTAATGTTATTGGAGCAGGAGCCAAGGGTAAGTTTTGTGGTGGTTTTGAATTTCAAGTTTTCCCGGAGCTCCAGGAGGAATTCGTATGTTTTCCGTTTCGCATGTCTCTTCTTCTGTTTATATCATTTGAGCTCCTTCAATAACGTTTCTGTATGTCTTCGCAGGGAGATGTCTGTTGAAGCTATGTCAGTAGTATTCTAACTGACACTGTAGAGGGTAGTACTTTGTTTTTTAGTTTTGTTAATTCTCTGCTGAATTGTACTTCCCTATGTCGACTATTAACCGCTCTTTTGCTGCCATTGAGGATTGCCTTGGGAGGAGGATTAGAGGCTGCAATGGTGAGTGCCAAGTCTTTCGGGATTGAAGCCGCACGTTGTTCATTTCTGTTTGATGATCTTATGATCTGGTTTGTCAGGTCTGCCATCCACGAATATCTACCCCTATTGCACGGTTAGCCTTCCTGAACTTCCACTAGGAATTTCCTGGATTTGGAGGTATGTTTAATATTTATTGAATGCAATAATTATGTTATTTGATTCATTGGCATCACTGTAATCAGGTTGAGGCAAAGTTTAAAGTTCTGATACGATGACATATATTGAATGTGCCATGTTGATGTTGTTTAGCAATCAATGGATTCCTTTATATTATCACTCAAAAGCCACTGAATTGTCTCAGGAACACAGCGACTTCCACCCTTGTTGGTATTAAGAAGTCCCTTGAAATGATGTTGGTATATATGTGTTGCTAGTTCTTTTTCTTGGTAAATTTAAGTTTGGTGTGCTTTGATGTATTGCTCTATGCTTTTCAATTAACATCTTTTTATCTTTCCTGCACCCAAATAGACTTCGAAACTGGTTAAAGGGGACGAAGCTTATGATTTTGGTCTCGTAGATGTCATTGTTGCAGCTGATCAATTGATAAGCACTGCACGTGATGGGCCCTGGATATCTTTGACCATAGAAAACCATGGTTTTCTACTCTTTACAGGACTAATAAGTTAAAGCCCCTCGGGGGGGCGGGGGGTGGGGGGGCAAGAAAATTTCAAGTTTGCAAGGACTCAGGCCAGGAACAGGCTCCAAATCTCGAACATCCAATAGTTTGCATTAATGCTGTTGAAGAGGGTGTGTTTCTGGTCCCCAGGTTGGACTCTTGAAGGTCCTAATCCACTCCAAAAATTTTCTGCTTCCTTCCCGTTGCTATTAGCATGCGATTTTGTGACAACAGATTTATTTGGCAGGAAGCTGAAGTTTTTGACTTGCTTGCAAAATCTGACACCAGCAAAAGTTTGTTCGTATCTTCTTTGCTTAACGTGCAACCTCAAGGGTTTGAATGAAATTTTGCTGCCATAATTGATTTTCGTTCATCTGTATATGTTATTTAATTCCAGCAATAAAGTTGTGTTCTGTTGGAGGATTTAACTTTGTATTTTGACTCTTATTCTGATAAAGTGATAATACATAATATAGTTGGTCAGATTGGTCTTGATGTAGGTTAATATGATTTGAAAAACCACTTAATATTGGCTCGCTTAATCATAGAAATTTATTAAATTAATTAGGTATTCATTTTCCTAATACACTTACGTTCCTCAAGAATGGAAGTAATTTGGAAGTTGTAGGGTGTAGACAATTAAATATTGGTGTTGGTTCTCCAAATATTCTTGAATAGATCCTGGAAAATTCTGAATTAGTGCTGTATTCATTGTGCTTACTGTTTTCATAGTTCATCGGCATGCCTAACTTCAAGCTCAACCATGATGGATAAAAAACTGACTGGCTTACATTTAGATATATTGATCGGCATTTTGTGTTATATGATTCGAAATGAACTTGAAAGTCATGACTATGGATACTTTTGATGCTTGAATTATTTTACATTTGCAGTCTTCAAAAGCTTCAACAGCAGTGATTATTAGTTAAATTGTCAACCCATGTGTACTAGCGAAGAGCTGTCGTTGTTACTATCAATTGCAATCTTATTTAGTCTTCATAATCTTAATACTGACTATTGATGCCTTAATCTTCTAACTTCTACATCACATGCTCTTACCAACGGACAGGTTCCTGGGGTAACTGATCTTGGTTTGATGCATGATGAGTGAATAAGGTTGCAATTCTTGGTGGAGGATTAATGGGCTCTGGAATAGCAACTGCATTGATTCTTAGTGATTATCTTGTGGTTTTGAAAGAAAGATGAGAATTCTTGGAGGCTGGGATCAATAGAGCAGAGGTGGGAACAGAGCCATGCTTTAACTTGTACATTACTGTTATATAAGGTAATTCACCTTTTTTTTTTTGTTGTATTTATTTTTCCAGCCAATCTGCAAGCCGTCTCAACAAAGGAAAAATGACCAGGAAAAGTTTGAAAAGATCATGTTTCTCCTAAGGGTGCTTTGGACTATGAGAGCTTCAAAGATATTGATATGGCCATTGAGGTACTGCAGTATGCATGCTGATTTACTTTAGTATTTGTTTGTCATCCTAATTCCTAAAGTTTTGACTGTTTACTTTATCAATTTGTTCTTGATGCTTTGAAACAGGCTGTTATTGAAAATGTTTCTTTGAAGCAACAAATTTTTTCTGATCTTCAAAAATATTGTCCATCGCATTGCATACTTGCAAGTAACACTTCCACAATTGATTTGAATTTGATCGGTGAGTGCAACAAGTTCCAGGATCGGATTGTTGGAGCCCATTTCTTCAGGTAGTATTTTGTGTAAAATTGTCATTGCTTTTTAGCCTCTCTCTTGGCTCAACAGTTGACTTGTGATGCTGTCCGGCTCATGTCATGCCACTCTTGGAAATCATTCGTACTAATAAGACTTCTCCCCAAGTGATTGTGGACTTACTCGATATTGGTAAAAAGATAAAGAAGACTCCAGTTGTAGTTGGTAATTGCACAGGCTTTGTTGTCAACAGGATCGTCTTCCCTTACACGCAAGCTGCTTTTTAATTTGCTTGTTGAACATGGAACAGATCCTTATCTGATTGATAGGGAAATTACCAAATTTGGAATGCCAATGGGTCCTTTCAGGTAATTTGCAAAATATGATTTGGTAACTGTGTTCTCACTGTTGCTTTTTAGAAGTTTGATGTCACATTGAATCGCTGTTACTTTTTAGAAGTTTAGTGTCACATTGAATGGGCTTTATGTGTTTCATTTGTTTATGCAGATTGGCTGACCTTGTTGGTTTTGGAGTGGTAATTGCAACCGCCATGCAACTTGTTGAGAATTTTCCTGAAAGAACCGATAGATCAATGATTATTCCAATCATGCAAGAGGATTAGAGAGCAGGTTGAGTTTTGTTAAACCCAATGGAGTTAGAAACTTGCCTCTAACCAAGATTCTTTTTACTTCTGGGTAGAATCTCCTGTTAAGTGTTTTTTATTTAATATGCACTTATTTTAGGTGAAGCCACCTGCAAAGGATTCTACTTGTATGATAAGAAAGGCAAAGCTAGACCAGATCCTGAATTAAAGAAATACATTGAGAAGGCTCGGAGTGTTTCTAGTGCCATTGACCCAAAGGTCAAACTCTCTAATCCCTTCTCTCTATTTCTCTACTTGGGGTATAAATTTATCTTGCACTTACATGTTATGGGATCAACTCGGCATACAGTTTTCTAAATTATCAGAGAAGGACATTGTAGAGATGATATTCTTCCCCGTGGTTAATGAGGCCTGTCAAGTCTTTTGCCGAAGGTATTGCAGTTAAAGCTGCTGACCTTGATGTTGCTGCTGTTATGGGTATGGGCTTTCCACCTTACAGGTTTGTATTTTTTTTTTTTTATAATTTAGGTGTTTCCTTTCTGAACTCTTTAGAATACTGGGTTTAATAATATGCTGTTATATATTTTTATCAGGGGAGGAATCATGTTTTGGGCGGACTCTATATGATCCAAATACATTTATTCAAGATTGGAGGACTGGTCAAAGCTGTATGGAGGGTTTTTCAAGCCTTGTGCCTTCTTGGCTGAAAGAGCATCAAAGGGGGCTCTCTGGTGGGTATTCTGTAAATCCTTTAGTTTTCATGTCATTCATGCTAAAAATTTAAGAGGATCACAGACTCCTATCGTATTGCCCCTGTGGGCTTAGCTTTTCCTCTAATGAAGCCATGAAATGGTCAGTTTATGCTTTCATCATCATGTCATGGACCAGGATCATCTGATGGACCCTGTTAAGCCAGCCTAATCTTCGAGAAAAGCCTTTTCAATGCTAACCACTTGACCTTAGTTCATTTGAAAGGCTACTATGGTATCCATTTGTTTCCGTTAGGTAAATAAATGATTTAATTGGGGACCCATGACTCCTTTCATCTCCTGGTCCTGGCTGTGCATGCTGAATGTCACAAAGTGGACCACCAGATTTAACACCCAGAGAATATTTACTTATACTTAAATTTTGTTCTATAGCTTTACTTAATAACTCGTCTTAGCTTCACTTTGCACTGACTTTTGCAGAGTGCGCCGGTGGAACAAACCAAATCAAAATTATAAGCCTTACTAGCTTGTCGTGTTGGGCATTGGTTTGATCTTTGTTGCTTGCATGATCTCTTCCCAACTCCGGTGATGTATTATATAGTTCTGGAGGAGCCAAATAATGTTTTTTTTTATTAATTGACATCTCAAAAAATTAGTCTCTTTAGGCATTTTTAAAGGTAATAATACATTTGCTTGTTTTGGCTCTCATAACTATTGTCCTTTTTGCTGTCAACCCAAGAAAAGAGCAACTGATAAGCGAAAATTGGAGCTCTTTTGTGCACAAATTAGTGAGGACCCATGCCATATATGATAATAAAGCTGCGGACTAAAACTATGAGAGAGATTAATGGGGCCATCTTTGTAGTAATAGTATAAAGTGGGATGATTATCTGTTGCTGATTCCAAACAAAAATCACAGTCAACTTGCAAAAAAGATGACTTTGAAAACATTGGAGATGGTGATGATGGTGTTTCACCAGCCACCAACCAACTGATGAAATCGCTCTATGTACCCCTCTATTTTAGATAGATATTATTCATGCTAGAATGGAATTTAATACCATTAAATTACAAGTTTCTGTGGCCAATAAGCTAGGAGTATGATAGGACATCGTGCTGCAGAAAAAATTTACCTACGCAAAAATTTTACATGTGAACAAATATAAAACGAAACATTCTTACAACCGTCCCTATAGGGATGAAGGGGAATTGAATACAGGATCTTTTGAGTATTACATTCGAGAGCTTTTATTTAATTACATGACCATCAAGGAGTTGGTTCAAGATAATGTTCTTTCATGTATAATTATATGGTAAAACATAAAAATAATATTTAGACGTATAAATTAAATGTCTAAACTTTGTCTTTAATATAATATGATAGATGATGAGGTGGTATAATTAAATAAACGTATTAAAAAGATTTAGTTGGATATTGTAGAGATTTAGACAGAGACTTGTGAATTTATTTAAGAATTCCGATGACCAAAAAAACAAAAGGAACAGTTAAAGAGCTGGAATGATGGGAAATATTATATTAAAAATCGTGAATCACCACGTTGATGTAAAGAGGACCATCTTTTCTAATTAACTATGAGCAACTTGGACTAAAAGACAGTAATATTAACCCTAAAAAATATCAAAGAAATCATTGTTGGTTGATGCATGAGAAATTAAACATGTGCTTAAACGATTCAAATTACCATATACTATAACTTATGTCAAAATCAAAATTTCTGGGCCCTCAATGGCTCCAAGCAACACGTTGGTTCACATAATAAATAAAAATTTCACACTTGAATATGGCATGCTTAGTTGGAACTTCATTTCTTGTCTCTTTAAACGTGTGGATGGATGTGTCGGTTCCATATATTATTTTTCATAAATGTTTGCTTTATATATATATATATAGAGAGAGAGAGAGAGAGAGAGAGAGAGAGAGAGAGTAAACGATTTTTTCCCAATGAAAGTTTGCCTCAATGATACTTTTCCATCTAAACAGTTTCAAAATACTATTTTTCCACCCAAAGTTTGTATTTCATTAATACCTAAAATACACTTCATTTTCTCAGACGATATTCAGTGAGTTATCAAGAGCCAAGATAGGAGGGGTTTTATAGAGTAAAGGCCGGTGGACTGAATGATAGTGACTGATTGAATATTTGTTGTCGGAATCAATTAGAAATTTACTAAGAATAGGAAACCCTAACTTTGTGGTGACTAACAATCGATGAGAAATCAGGTGCTAGAGTGAGAGAGTTTTTGTAAAGTGGAGACTAGAGGTTTAAATAGTGATGACAGAGAGAATTTTCGCTGTTAGAATCAGCCAGAATTGGCTTTAGGTAGTAAAGGAATATCAACTTTGGGTGGAAAGTGGTATTTTGAAACTTTTTATGTGGGAAAGTTTCCTAAGGCAAACCTTGGGTGGGACAAAGTCGTTAATGTACATACAATTATAGAGAAGCTCAAGAAATGAGACAGTAATTGACAGGATAAGTAGTGTGAAACTGATGACCAACTCTATCTAGAATTGCAGACGTGAGTTTGTATTTTAATCTGACAATAATATAGTTTCTCTTGCTATCTACAAAATTAAAACAACTATAAAGAAATGATATTTAAAAATGATTGTACATAGATATATAAATCTGATATGAGAAGAAGATCATAAAGTTTCAGCTTACATGAATGGGAAAAAAGAAATCTTTAAATAACACCAACATGCCATAAACAATAATTTTTGCAGCTTGATGTCCTCCACTACTTTTTGCCAGCGAAAATTTAATATCTCAAGTACAGATATAGAAATGAAGACATATAATAAGATAGGCAACCTTGTTCTTAAATAATTCCATCACATGGTACATTTAATACTATAAGTTTTGTATTTATATACTAGAAACATTCAAACCAAAACAAACTTTATTACCTCTCTTTCCTCTTCCCTCTTCCCTCTTACAAGATATTTTAACATCCAATCTCCAGATATAGCAAATCTCTTCTGCTTTAGTTTTTCCTAAATATGGAAGACTTAAGCTTTTATATTGGAGTCATAGGTGAGCATAAGCAATTTCTATCTCTGTACGATTTTCTGCATATATATATGCTGAGAAAATATGCATGCTCATGTTTCTTTCTATATATGTTGCAGGCAATGTTATTTCTGTGCTGGTGTTTCTTTCTCCAGCGTAAGCTCTTAAATTTTAATTAAGCTTCTGTTATATGATCTATATATATCTTTTAATTCGGAGTTTAATTTGATGATGATAAAAGTGCATGATCTGTGGATGCAGTGGAATATTTTGGCGAATAATAAAGCACAAATCAACTGAGAACTTTGAGAGCCTTCCTTATATTTGCACATTGTTGAATTCTTCGCTATGGACTTACTATGGCATCACAAAACCTGAAGAATATCTTGTAGCCACTGTTAATGGTTTTGGCATTCTAGTTGAAGCTATCTATGTTACTTTATTCTTCATTTACGCTCCATCAAAACAGATCAGGGTTCGCACTTATAATATTAATGTTTATCTTCAGTTCAATATCAGAAAGAAACTCCCATGAAATTACTCCCTAAATTATATTTTGGTAATTCCAGTGCAAAACAGCCGCTCTTGTTGGGATCCTGGATGTGGCTTTTTTGGCAACAGCGATTCTCGTTACTCGGTTAGCTTTGCAAGGAGAGTTACGTATTGATGCTTTAGGCTTCATTTGTGCGGGCCTCAATGTTATTATGTATGCATCGCCTCTTTCTGCCATGGTAATTCACTTTAATCGTCTTTATATTTTGCTTCATGATATTCATTCAGATTTTTGTTTTATTTTATTTTCTTAGAGATAAAGATTAAGGAGTATTTTAAGCTTGCATGATTGATGGTTCATAAATCCAATAAGTCAACTTGCTTTGGTTTGCTCCCAAAAGAAACCTTCAATTAAAATAATGAACTGGAGGCCAACTTCCTTACTTATTAGATAGACTAATTGACTAAACAATATTTTTTTAAAGAGGAGTGCGTGGCAGCCATTAATGAAGTGATTGAGAGAATGTGACTTTTTGGTTTACGAAGAACACATTCCATAAAGCTAAGCATCTCTAGAGGAAACACACATCACAAAGAGTGTCTTCATAATTGAGAAACGGTAAAAAATGGTGGCATTCTCAAATATACTGGTCATTTTGTCACTTACTTTGGACAGCTAAATAGCTGCCATACATCACTTGGGCACTTGGGGGACCTAAGCTCTAATCTAAAGCAACTATCAATTCGTTCAATAAATTGATTTACATTCAGGCCAAAAGTTTGATTTATATTTATTACTGATTTGGTGAGGCATATATGTCTGTTTGTGTGATTGCAGAAAACAGTGGTGACTACCAAGAGTGTGGAATACATGCCATTTTTCCTCTCATTTTTCCTATTTTTGAACGGTGGGATCTGGGCTTTCTATGCCTTGCTTGTTGGTGATATTTTTCTTGGGGTAGGTCAATTCTATTTTTTTCTACTGATATCTAGGAGATTTTTCTTTTTATTGTATGGTCCTAACACAATCCTAACATATACAAGTGTGTGATGAAGCTAAGAGAATTTCAAGAGTGGGCCTAGGAAAAGGGATCCAAGGACTCTGTTATCACATGTCCCAGGGTCCATCCAATTGTAATTTGTGTTGTGCAGTCTTTTCGTCGTCTTCTTTTCTCACTCGCACGTTTTTGAATTCCAGGACAATTATTGGTCTCCCTCCATCAATATATGATTGGTTTTTACCTTCCTCATGGCTTAATTATCAAATCGTAGTTCATGTAGCGGATGGATTTCCTTAAGAATTAAATAGCTGAATTTGAATCGCACAATTGAAATTAAATATTAGTCCTATTTATAATGTGTGGTTAATTATATAATATGATGCAGGTGCCAAATGGGGCAGGGTTTGTACTGGGAACAGCTCAGCTAGTACTCTACGCAATCTACAGAAACGCCAAGCCATCAAAGAATGTTGCGAATGCATTAGAAGAAGGAACACAACACGAACCTCTAATCTCTCCCTCTTAAAAACCATCATTTGCAAATTATCATGAAGCGTAAACAAACCCTAAAGCCAGGAGTATCCTTTATATATATAAATATATATATTCCTGGAGGTTTAACTTGGTCATTCATTGCTTGACGGGAGCAGAAGGGGTGAAACGTTACTACACCGTCATGCGTATAAATCAGCTTATGGGCATACGTAATTCCGTATTATAGGTATAGTTTTGAGACTGTTCAACTTTTGTTACTCTCAGAAGTCTGTCATTTTATCAGTATTCGATAGAGGAAGATGCTTGCAAGTTTGTGTTTTAGATATTGCATTTTGTATCGTCATTAATGTCCATGTAAAGTAAGAAATGAAGGTTTTGTAGTTAATCTAAACTATAAAACATACTTTATTTATTATTCTTCCTCCTTATGTAATTTGAAGCCAATTGTCTTATCACTGAGCTTGATTATCCTAAAATCTTCCAGTTTAGTTTATTTGCTCTAAAGTTTTTTGCTTGCCATAATTTGAGTTACTTGCGCAGTCGTGATCTGAAGTAATTCTGTCGGGGAAATCATCTTATAAATGGATTGCAAATAAGAAGATGTTAGATGCATTCATCAAAATATCAATACATCCAATTTATATTCTCTTTTAAATTGATCATTATCATGTTCAAGTTATTTAAGAAAACATAAAGTTAAATGCATGTAATGTTTCACCGCATCAATAAAATGAGTTAATTTCACATGTTAATTAGGAAATTATGTAATTGGCATGATAAACCGGCGGCTTGCTGGTGGCAGCGCCGAAGCCTAGCCACCGGCCTAGAGTGGTTGTGTTTGCACTTGGCAGCCCTAAATCAGCCCACTTCCGGCCATTTTTTTATTTTAATTTTCAGCCACCACACAATCACCATCATAAACACCACGGACATACTGCAAATGGTATTCAATTTTTTTTTTTGTCTTGATGAACTTGTTAATAATCTGAGTTTATTTGATTTTCATTATAATTAATGTGATAGAAATCCTGATTTTAGAATGAGAAGTTTTGGAAAAGGATATTTCAAATTATTTTTTTTTCGTTATTATAAGTTTCTTCAAGAGTGTTCTCCAGGTAGTTGCACTTGGAAGTCTTCATTGATGTTATCTGCATTAATGCTGTCTGCACACTCTACAAGATAAAAATAAAATGAAAACTAAAAATCGAAACACATGCTACAGGGGAAAAAAAAAAAAAAAACCTTCAAAGCCAGCGTCTCCCTTAACAAACAAACTCGTACATGTACAGTTCACCGGAATAAGGCTTGAGGCTTCTCAATCTCGTTGCAGCTAACAGAAACACTTACTACAGAAATTCCGTAAAAGGAGTGTAAAATTTATAACAAAGAGAAAAGCCAGATGGGTAAGAGAAGAACAACGATAGAGGTTGGAGCTGATGGAGTTGCTCTCATGGTCACCATCATCAATCCTCCTGTCAATTCTCTGTCTCATGAGGGTACTTACTTTAATTTTTTTTTTTTTTTTTTTAATGTTATTCACTATTTCTAACTGTTATAATTAACCACACACACACAAAAGAATCAACCAAACAAAGACCACAATCAAGAATCACAACCAACACGCACAAGAACAACCAGAATTTTACCGTGGTTCACTTGCTTTATTTCAAGCAAGCTACGTCCATGTTGAGCTCAGGAAACACACAAGCTCGCTGCACTAAATCACTGTCAAGATTACACACAGCACCACAAAACCCTCAAATCCCTTCTACAACCTGTAACTCACCCTAGAGATTATACCCTTTCAATCCCTACTGACAGCATATACAAATACACTCAGAATGACCTGACCTAGTCACTCAAACACCAAGTTACAAGATTCACACAACCCAAATTGAAACCCTAACAGACTTAATATTGTGTCAACGAAGAAGAGAGAGTTCGCACAAGAATTATTGCGTACAATATGCCAAAACAATTCTACTTTTATATGTTTGATTGAAGGGTTAATTCCAGCCGTTGGATCTTCTCTTCATCAACGCTCAGGATTGCTTCTTCAGTTTAGCTCAAAACGACGTCGCCTCATTTAAGTTCTAATACGACAGTGTTTCAAGCCATCACATCAACAATCTCCACCTTGATGGGTTGAAACAACCCCCTGTACCAGTGCAGCTCGCCTTCAGTGAATCCTTCATGGCTCTTTTGTTACCCTTGCTTACTTAATGGAAAGCAGGTTCAAGCAATGCTTGAACTTAACAAGTGTAACAATCTTCGTCCTTATGTCTGCTGGATTGTGCTCAGTAGAAACCTTATTGAGAGCTATCTCCTCCCTGGTGACCAGATCTCTCACAAAGTGGTAACGAACATCTATGTGTTTGGTTCGCTCATGGTACACCGGATTTTTACTCAGGTGTATTACACTTTGACTGTCTGAAAAAAATGGCTGGCTTCTGTTCAGTCAGGTTTGCTTCACTCAGGATTCCTTTGAGCCAAATTGCCTCTTTAAATACATCAGCTACAGCCACATATTCAGCTTCGGTTGATGACAGTGCAACTATAGGCTGTAATTGTGACTTCCAGCTGATGCAATTACCCCCCAAGGTAAAGTAGTATGTTGTAGTTGACTTCCTAGTGTCCCTGTCACCTACAAAATTAGAGTCTACAAAACCAGCCAACTCAAATGAGGCAGACCTTTTACAATATTCCAATCCATCATTCAATGAGCCATTAACATAGTTGAGTACCCATTTCAGGGCTGTCCGGTGTTCCATACAAGGATTGGACATGTATCTACTCAGCAATGATATCACAAATGATAAATCAAGCATAGTACTAATCATAGCACACATCAAGGACTCAATTACATTTGCATAGGGTATGGTCTCCATTTTAATTAACTCAGCATCAGTATTAGGGTATTGGGCCTTGCTTAATGTGAAATGGTTAGCTAAAGGCATTGAAACAGTTTTAGTCCCTGTCATTCCAAATTTTTCTACTAACTTATGCAGGTATGAACACTGGTGAATTTTCAGTTTGCATTTGCTCCTGTTCCTATCAATTTGCATGCCTAATATCTTCCTAGAATCCCCTAGGTCTGTCATTTCAAATTCAGCATTGAGTTTATCAGTAACATGTCATCTACGTACAGCAGTAAGTAAATAGGTATATCATTCACAATAGCAAAGTAGAAACAATTGTCATACCTACTCCTAGTGAATCCTATACCTACAATAAATGTGTCAAATCTCTTATACCATTACCTAGGGGATTGCTTTAGACCATATAGAGATTTCAGCAGTAAACAGACATGGTTGGGGGCCTTTTTATCTATGAAACCTAAGGGTTGGCTCATGTAGATCTCTTCCTCAAGATCTCCATGCGGGAATGTAGTTGTAACATCTAATTGTTCAAGCTCTAGATCCTGGTGGGCTATTATGGATAGCATTGGCCTTATGGTTTTGTACTTAACTACCGAGGAAAAGACTTCATTGAAGTCTATTCCCTCTCTTTTGGTGAAACCCTTGGCTACTAATCTAGCCTTATACCTGAGGGGATCCTTTGTAGTGATACCTTCTTTTAATTTGAACAACCACTTGCATTGTACTAGTTTCTGATCCGTAGGCTTTGGTACAAGCTTCCAGGTTCTGTTCACCTCCAAAGACTTCATTTCTGCTTCAATAGCAGTCTTCCATTGATCCCTTTCCTTTGACTGCATGGCTTCCTCATAGGTTTCAGGCTCTGATCTTTGTACTTCGGTACCTGCAAGAAGAGCAGTATATATTAGATCAGCATATGAATACCTTATGGGTGCCCTTACCTGTCTTCTAGTTCTATCTCTTGCAAGTTTTCAGGCTGAATCTCAGTGTCATTTGCTGTTTCTGTCTCATCCTCATGTTCTAGATCAGTTTGTCCAGTTTCTCCTCTAGGTTTAGTAACAGCTTCAGTTTCTTGAATGGTTTGTGTTTGAGTAGGAAGCTCCACCTCAATTGGTGTAACTTCAGGATGGCTAAAGGAATCCTCTGAGCTTGAAGTAGGGTCAGATCTTGTTCTAGTTTCCTTATAGGAAAGACTCCCTCATTGAATATCACATCTCTGCTCACAATGATTTTAACGCCTAGAGATTCTCTATCCCAAAGTCTATAACCCTTGGTCCCTTCTCGATACCCTAAAAATATGCACTTAGTTGATCTTGGTTCTAATTTTCCTCCTGTGGTGTGTGCATGGGCTGCACAACCAAAGACTCTTAGGTGGCTTAGGGTTGGGATTCTACCAGTCCATATTTCTTCAAGACTCTTTAGGTTTATTGCAGTAGATGGGCTCCTATTGACCAGGTATTTTGCTGTGGTAAGGGCTTCTCCCCAAAAGGAGGTGGGGAGTTTGGAGGTTACTAATAGGCACCTAACTTTATCAAGAAGGGTTCTATTCATTTGTTCTGCCACTCCATTCTATTGTGTGGTGTGGGTTACTGTCCTATGTCTTAAAACCCCTTGATCACTACAAAACTTGTCAAATTCTTGGTTACAGAATTCCAGCCCATTGTCTGTCCTAAGAACCTTCACCCTTTTGCCCATTTGGTTTTCTACTAGGGTTTTCCAATCCCTAAACCTAGGTAGAACCTGATCTTTGGATTTCAGTAGGTACACCCACACCTTATGGCTGTAGTCATCCACCAGAGATATAAAGTAATTATTCCCTCCATAAGATTTCACTTTTCCAGGTCCCCAAAGGTCAGAGTGTATGTATTCTAGTTGGCTAGTGGCTAGGTGTGTCCCCTTAGTGAAACTGTTTCTATGCTGTTTCCCTAAAATACAATTCTCATAGAATTCAAGGGAAGTAATCTTGTCCTTACCAAACTACCCTTTATGCTTCAGAATGTCCATACCTCTTTGACTCATGTGGCCTAATCTAAGGTGCCACTTTTCTGTATTGGACAGGTTAGTAGAAATAAACACAGAATTAAAGCAGTTTTGGGAATGGTTCCCACAGAGTATGTAAAGCCCATTTCTTTTCTCTCCTTTCAGTATCAGGTTGTTATTCTATATATGTTCAAACATCCATTTTCTACTCTATAACAACATCCTGATTCATCTAAGGTGCCAAGGGATATCAATTTTTTTTTAAGTTCAGGAATATACCTAACCCTAGTTAGTTTTACCATTTTTCCTGTGTTAACCCTTACTGTCACTGTGCCTATCCCTCTTACCCTACATGCATTGTTGTTTCCCATGTAAACAGTTTCATTGTCAACATTTTCAAATTCCTGGAACCAGTCTCTCCTAGGACTCATGTGAAATAAACAACCTGAGTCCAACACCCACTCTTCACCAGTGTCATTCATTGACACAGTAAGGACTTCAGGTTCCTCTACCAGGTTTTTGGTGGTGGCTAGGTTGTTCTCTGTATTCCCCTGTTTTTGTTTTTTAATCCAATCAAAACAATTCTTTTTAATGTGCCCAGTTTTATTACAAAAGAAGCATTTTCTAGACTCTACTCTATGCTTGTTGCTGCCCTTCCATTTTTTCTTATTTCTAGCCCCCTAATTATTCTGATTTCCCTTACCAATTTGACTAGGTTCTGGTCTGCTCTTAACAAACAGATTTATGCCATTTTGTTTATGGGTTTTTAATTCTAATTCTCTGGCCCTAAGTCCTGCTGTTATTAGGTCAAGATTTAGTACAGTATCCGAGTGCTGTAGGGCATTCTTGACTACCTGGCAGTCATCAGTCAGGGAGTTCAATAGGATCATGGCTAGACTAGTTTCTCCTAATGCTTGGTTTGTCCCTTTCAGGATCAAAGTCATTTTCAGAAATTCGTCTAGGTTTTCATCTATACTCTTAGCTCTATCCATTTTATAAGAAAATAAAGCCCCCTTTAAAAAGGCTAAGTTGGGGGCAGATTGCAAAACATACAAGGTATTGAGTTTACCCCAGAGTTCAATCGGTGATTCAATTCCGTCTACCTTCATGAGAATGCTGTCAGACAGGTTCATGATTATCAAGTTGTATGCCTCCTCATTGATCTCCTCTTTCTTCTTCAGCTTCTCCTCTGGCCACTTCTTGGAGTCCTTTTCCAGTGCGATGGCCACCTTGTTGTGAGAAAGCAATGCTTTCATTTTTTTCTTCCAACTCCCGAAGTCAATCTTCCCATCATATTGGGAGATTTCCATTCGGGTGGTGGTATTTGTCATGGTGAAGTGTTTGGTTAGGTTTGTGAGAAAGAAAGATCAAGAACTAAACTCTGTTCTTGAATCTTCAAGAAATGGGAATACCCTAGGTTTATACTGGTACTGAGATCTGTGCTAATTCGCTCCGAATAACACTCCTCTAGACTCCAATTTGATTTCTAAACCCTAAAATTGAGAAAGCTCCAATTTAATCGGCAGTCCCAAAAAACCCTAGAAATCTCAGATTGGAATTTAACATGATATCTCCCTAATTTCTTGTAACCTAACGCTTTGATACCATTGTTATAACCACACACACACAAGAATCAACCA